CAGCGTACTCAACACAGCATCTCGGCTCCCGATGCCGCCGTACTTCCTCTCTAAGTGCTACCATATCACTTATCACTCGTTTTAAAAATTGTGACACCGAAAGAACTTCTCAGGTGCCATGAAGCAATATATGTTGACAAAATTCCTGTCGACAAGGTGGAGGACTCTTACCGTCGGTGGGGTGGTATCGCAAGAAAAGTGCTGCAACCTGATCGGTCGGGCGAGTGTCAACCTCGAATCGACCGTGCGATTCGTTGTGTCACCTTAGAATCTTTGGTGGATGCGTGTGCAATGCTTAACGCTGATGACTACCACGACTTGCGTGATCTGCTGCATTATTGTGTTGATGAACACTTCCAGAAGGAGTCCATAGTTTTTGCGTCACAGTACGTTCAGGAATCGGTCTACAACAATCTTCGCGTACAAAATGAGGATAAGCTTTACAAGTTTATTGCTGTATCGGATGGGGTTGCTGCTGTCGATTTGCTGCGTGGCTTACTGAGCGACGAATATGCGCACTCAATGGTGGGGACTCGAATTCATCGTCTAGTTAATGACCAGAACGACGCCAAAGATGGCGGTCCTGTGGTGGAGGGGAGCAATTAAACGGTTGAGGTGGAACTGCCATGGCGGTAAAGTGTATTTCTCGGTCACCGCGATGATACATCGCGCGTCTACTACACACTGACTTTCAGGGTCTCTCCATGCAATCAATGGTTTCTGTGAGTCTTAGGTTGCAGCGGCATATTCAAAGCCAGTTTCGACGCGTTTAAAAAAATAAAAAAAATCAATTAAGTACGTATGAATACGAAGTATATAGTGGGCTGCCACCATCTCGGCGAATGATTGCGTATTAGTTTAGCTGAGTTTTGTTTAGTTTGCTTAGTTTTCAATATTTTTAACACATACACCGTGATCGTCTTTTCGTAGGGCGTGCACGCAAAGCACTTGTTGGTCGGTTCCATTGCCTTTTAACGAAAGTCAAAATTCGGTCCACATTTACGCGAACCATTACGCGAACCTGTACATGAACTTAAAACATTTTCATAGATCACGCTACACCTGTGGGGGAATACGAAATTGGGGATAGCGGTCGAGAATCCAGGCATAACCCCCCGTATCCTTGTTGCGAGCTGCCAATTCCATAGTTTCCGTCGTGCAAGGTTGCTTGCATTGCGAGTGCAAAAACAGCAGGAGCTCGAAATTCCCGCGATTGGCAGCACTGTTGATGGCAGAACTTGTGCAACCTTCCGAGCGATGAGTGTGGAGCCATTGAACAACACTGAAATGCCCCTGTAGCGCCGCCTGGTCCATCGCCGCTGTGGTGCATCCTTCCGCTCGGTTTCGGTGCAGCCATTTCACAACCGCCAAATGACCATTCGCTGCTGCTTCGTCCATTGCTGCGACGGTGCATCCTTCACGGCGATATTTATGCAGCCACTTCACAACGTGAAGATGCCCATTTGTTGCCGCTCCATTCAGTGCTTGTGTCGTGCAGCCAGCGTTCATATTGGCGTGCAGCCATTTCACAACCTCAAGATGTCCGTTGGTAGCAGCGCCGTCCATTGCAGCTTTTGTACTCCATATCGATAACTCTCCATGCAGCCATTGCACCACGCGCAAAAAGCCTCCTGAAGCAGCTCCATCCATCGCGCGACTTGTGCAGCCCTCCAGCCTGTTCCGAAAGAGCCACTTGGCGACATCCAAATGCCCATTTGCCGCCGCACAGTCTATCGCCTTATTGGTGCACTTGCGACCGGGCCTGCTCGATCCATTTCTGTTGCGTTTCCGACTATCCGCGTTAAATTCCATCGCCTGCACCAGAACTAACACGTTCAGATGCCCTCGCGCAGCGATACCATCCATCAGAGCTCCATCGGTCGGTGTCTGCTGATATCCGTCGGCGATAACAGAACAATACTCCGTTGATAGCCATTTCACGACACCAGCATGGCCATTCTTCCCGGCTTTGATCAACGTATCGATCGAGACCTTGGCAGCCGTGCACGATTCACCACGCTGCGTAGTCAAAGTTCGAATCAGAGCATCCTGCTCCTCACTTTCCACCGCACACTGGCAAGCATTTCGAGGTGTTTCCGCGCGCGCTCGAAGGTACTTGGCGAGGTCAAGAAGCCCGTTCACCGCCGCGGTGTGAATTGCCAGACTGGCCTCTCCCCCCAGTTTGTCACTTCTTCCGGCATTCAGATCCAGCAGCCAGCGCACCACATCCAAGTGTCCATTCTCCGCTGCCACCATTACCACTCCGCAACTAATCGAAACCAGTTCCTCCTTCTCCAGCCACCTGAGCACATCAAGGCGGCCTTGAGCTGCAACCTCGTGCACTAAACGGCGCCCTTGGATCTGCAGCCGCAAGGCGGCACCATGAGACAGTAGCCACTCTGCCAGGGCGATGTCCCCGTTCTTCACAGCGTACTCAAAAGCCTTGCTCTTATCGTATCTCACGCTTGGGGTGTGTTGCAATAGCCACCACATGACGTTGTTATGGCCGTGTAGCACCGCCACCTCTAGGGCGTCCTTGCTCCATTGAACTCGATGCCCCACGACAATTTGTTTGGTGGGGTTTGTCGATTGTAGCTGCCTCCTATGCGAAGAATTGTCGTTATCAAGGAAAAACTGCAAGATTTCCATGGCCCCGACACTGGCGGCTGTGGTCGCCACTTGGGGCACGATGGCAACGCCCTGGAAATGGGCGGACAGCCACTTGACCAAGTTGAAGTCTTTACGCTTCACTACCTCCTGCAGCGACTGGTTGAACTGGTAGTGGCGGTAGAAGCGGTCGGATAGGAGGAGTTTGCGAAGAGACCAGTCGTTGCCGCCGCGTTTTTGCTTGCGATAGGCTTGAGTGGAGACCCGGATGCGCTCCAGCAGTCGCAGAGACTCGAAGGCGCAGGCCTTGTGCAGCGGCAACTCGACCGACGAGTCCAGGAACTGCGAGACGGAGGTGATGACGTGTGACAGGTCGACGAAGGCGCTCTTGGCACGGAAAAGCAGCTCCACGACGAGCAAGCGGGACACTTCCTGGGGCATGGGTGCTCGTTCCGACTTCAATTGCTCGAAGATTGTTTTATGCCTCACAAACTTTACAAACTTCAAGTAAATTTGGAACGTGTCTACCGCACAAACAAGCTGTCAGCTTTTTCTAGAAAAGTACAACATTTTTACTAAAGTTCCATAAATCTCAAATATATTGGGCCAATACACAAGTATGCATGTCTTTCAGCTCGACCTTCTAGAGTGCTCCCCGCACGAGATTCGGACGGCTGAGTGGGCTTGACATTGTCGTGTAATGTTACGCTAGAGAATCCACAGCCAAAGCGAACTGAAAGTCATACTAACGTACGGCGGCAGCATTGCGTGCGTCATCTTCGAGGTCATTCTGTGTGGTAGTAGAACAAATCTAATGGTTAGTTTACCTCGGCTACCCATTACGTACCCTACCATTACCAGTACATACATTAGATTCCGTGCACTTGTAATTTAGATGATAGTATTACAAAGGTTGGATAAAGCAAGACACGTTCCGTTTCAATTGAGCCCGATTTCAGTCAGATATTCATAGTGAAAGTCACCGGTTTTTTGTCAGTCCCTGCTCCTGATTCCTCGGTTAGATCAAGCACCAACTTCGTGCAATACGAATTGGAAGTCTGACGCAAAAATATATACAACTTACGACGGGTATCAGTAGTTATTTCCGTAAGTCACTGCAAATTCATTTTTTTACGGATATTGGGTTTTTCCGATTCCGGTTGATACTTTCGGCTGCAAGAACTCGACGTTCAGTCAGACCTAAGGTTACGTCTCGGACAAGTTCAACGACTACAATTTGGCGTACGCACATTTCATTAAGAGCCGCAGGATGCACGCACCCTACGTCCAGGTGCCCGAAGTCGTCATTTCGGTGACGCCTACAAGGTCGTGCTGGTCACGGCTGCGGCTACAAGTTGTAGCCTACAACTGTGAGAGTGTCATCAAGACGGTCGGGGAGGTGCGGCCGACCTTGACGCCTGCTGACGCGACTTAGCATCTACGGGTCGGCGAGGAGCTCAACGCGCAGAACTTGGAAACCTGCTACCCTCAACCAGACGTGCCTCTAAATAACGGAAATACAGACTGCCCGTTCCTTATTGCAGAAGGAGTGTATCACTGTAAGTAAACAAGACCGAAAATATATGTACGTGAGACCGCGTCAAACGTTCGTAATCATCATTTAGTGAAGCTTACGAACCATTTGGAGTTTCGAAATACATATTACAGATACTAGTAAACCGGTGAGATATGTCACAAGCGTCCGACTCCGATTCCACTTCGCTTACGGAATCAAAAAAATGATCATCTCTGGAAATCAGACAGGGATTCCAGACGCAGACGCCCGAATTTGTAGCATCGATTCTGTGACCTACATGAACGAGACTAGCTGATGGTTACTTATCTTCGGTCCCACTGGCACCGTCACACTTGAGAGGAAGTGCGAATCCGTTGGTCAAAGTAAAACAACATACTACTGAAATCCAGCCTTAACGAGTACTACACTACAAAACAAAAGATTCCCAGCTAATCCCAGCTATTTTAAAGTAGAGGACCGGCTATAACGTGAGTGTCACGCAGTGTTATCCGCTGGTGGTAGCAACGAATATAGCGCGAATGTTGTTCGATGGCAAGGGCTGTGATTCCAGCACTAACGCCGCTTCTTATCCCAATAAGTCCTTACCACTATTTTAATAATGTTTTCAATAACCGTAAAACTCCCGCTTAGAGTTGCCCCAACCTGCCCCCGAATGCATGAACCATAGGGGTTGTTAAGCCCCAGGGCTCATGTTTGCCTTTGATATCTAATTGGTTCGTAAGCATGTTTGACGCGGTCGCACATGGCCCGCGTATCTACTTTCATTTAAGTATCTGCTTGGTCTCTCATCAGGAGCTCGACCTCGTTCACTCATCATTTACCAAGTCTCCGCTTCAAGCACAAGTCAACCGTTAAGATGAGTGTGCTGCTACAGTTGCTGTTGCTCCCTCTATTGGCGACGGCGTCGCCAGCCATCGACCTCTCTCCGCCTGGGAACGATGTCTGTCTCGACGAGTCCTCCATCCGGTCTGTGGCGGCGAACCTCAACGCTAATGCACCTGCCACCGGCTCCGACGTCTCCGAGAAGAAGGATCTCCCGGTCTTCTTCTTCCACGGGCTCACGGGCAACAGCGGGGAAGGTTCCAACTTGCAAGCGAACTTGACGGCTGAAGGGCGCGTGTTCCCTTGGCTTTCTGTGAGAGGGAGTGCTCTCTGACGGCGTTGAACACCCAAGTGCCGATGGTTATCGCTGCGGTGCACGAGGTGGTGGCAAGCGATCAACGCTTCGCCGATATCTACATCTTCATCGGGCGTTCCCAAGGAGCGATGATAGCTCGCGCGGTGATCGAGCAGATGGACGACCACAAGGTGCACACGTACGTGAGCCTGGCAGGAGGAGTGAACGGCATTTTCTACGGCCCTCAAGAGGCCGACCGCAACTCGATCCACGACTTAGGAGCGGGCTTTGGCGCAGCCGTCCTGCCGCAAAATCTGTTTGACTTTACGGGGTACACACCCGAGGGCTACAGAGGGAAGATGCAAGCCGACTTTGCACGTCGATGTATGGACCCCAAGCTCCAGGCCACCTACTCCTACACGAACTTAGGACGAATTCCAGTGCGTGACGTCTGGCTGGCGACTAACGAGTTCCTACCCATGATCAACAACGTGAATATTTGCGCGTGGTTTGATTTCCACTGCCACTTGGAGAAGATTCGCCGCAAAAACAACTTTCTGAGACTGAAGGAGGCGCATTTCTTCGCTTCTCCGGACGATGGCGCGGCGTCACCATGGCAAATGGGTCTGCTTGAACACTACAGCGAGGTTGAGACACTGGAAGAACTTGAGACTAGGTTCGAGAGCCTCACGATCGTAGAGATGCGTGATACAGTCGAGTACAAGGACGACACGTACGGCTTGCGCACGCTGGATGAAAGGGGAGCGTTGTTCCGCTACCCGGTCCCCGGGGTTCCGCACTGCTGTTGGTTGTATGACACCCCCAAGTTTCACGAGGAGGGCTTGTGTAAGTTCCATCCTGTTTTTGACGAGTACGTGTACAAGGTGCTTCGGTAGGGCGGCACTTTTCATTGGCAGCGTCGCGGGGTTGCTGGTAGCACAGCTACCGAGTATTTCTGCTCACTCTATGGGGATAGCCATTGTATCACTTGCGACGACCTAACAATATACGATTTTTCCGTACGAATGTTACTTTGCTACGGCTTGAAAAATGTTAGTATCGACAAAGACGAAAAGGTTAGTTCGTGAAGATCTTGGTCACGGTCGCGAAATGGCTTTCACGGCATGATTCGACATGTACGGTGCGGCCTCGCCTAGCCTGAACAATCACTAGTAGACACTGCGTGTCTAAGACACGGTGTCTTCAGCGTTGGGGTCGTACTCGTGGTTGACGGCGGTAGGTTTTCCGTTGCTGCCTAGATGTGGAGGAGGAGGACGGAACCCATCCGGGCTGGGCGGCAGTCGTCCGAAAAATGGCTGTCCCCACCAGACATGACACCCTTGGCAGGAAATGGAGGCTGCTTTCCTTTAGGAATTTGGAGCTTTGAAGCCTCGCCGTTACCTTGCTTAGGAGGCGCCGGAAGTTGATGGGAGCACAATCCTGCCAGGGGAACGGAGGGGCGAAGACGTCGCCTACGTCTGACGGTGGTGGAACGCCTCCGGCATCACTTGCACTACCAGGCCATGAACCAAACCCACTGCTGAGATGGCACTCCACCTTTTCCCTTGTCCGTAGCAAATTGGTGGCATGATCACGAAACCTTTTGCCGTCAGCAGAAGGTGGAGGAGGAAGAGGATTGCGATTGCTGGGTTTCTTGTCGTCAAAGTGCTTCGGGTGGTAGGTTTTCCGTTGCTGCCTAGATGTGGAGGAGGAGGACGGAACCCATCCGGGCTGGGCGGCAGTCGTCCGAAAAATGGCTGTCCCCACCAGACATGACACCCTTGGCAGGAAATGGAGGCTGCTTTCCTTTAGGAATTTGGAGCTTTGAAGCCTCGCCGTTACCTTGCTTAGGAGGCGCCGGAAGTTGATGGGAGCACAATCCTGCCAGGGGAACGGAGGGGCGAAGACGTCGCCTACGTCTGACGGTGGTGGAACGCCTCCGGCATCACTTGCACTACCAGGCCATGAACCAAACCCACTGCTGAGATGGCACTCCACCTTTTCCCTTGTCCGTAGCAAATTGGTGGCATGATCACGAAACCTTTTGCCGTCAGCAGAAGGTGGAGGAGGAAGAGGATTGCGATTGCTGGGTTTCTTGTCGTCAAAGTGCTTCGGGTGGTCCTTACGAAATGGCCCATGGTTCGAAAAGGGTGGCATTTCACCGTCCCCGGCATGCGGTGGAGGATTGTCGAAACGACCATCAAAACTTCCGCTACCGTGCCATGGTCTACCTCCTTCGTCGCTCGCATTGAGAGAAAAGTCGGCACGTCCTGCAACCGGGGGCAAGCGATGGTGCTGCCCACCGCGAAACATGCCGCCACGCTCGGGTTGCTCCAAGTCGCGGCTAAAATCGTTCGGGGGAGGTTCGTCGGCGTCGCTGTCTGAAGGACCAAGTCCCGTGCCACTACTGGTCGATCTCCCGTCGCGCAAAAATTGCGAGTGAGGGCTGAGCGGAGATCACGGGTCGGAGGACCCTTCGACGATAACTGCAGCCGCAGCCACCGCCGCGGCGATAGTGACCGTGAGCTTGACCATGGACGCTGGACGGGCGAGTTACTGTAGTGTGATGAGCTGGTTATGGGAGAACGGACGCCAACATCTTGGGCATACCCTCGCTACATGACACCTTTGCTCGTGTGGGGCGTTGATGGGATCGGGATTCGGATAGCGAAGATTTCAACCGCCATGCATCGGTTTCACTCTTGCCGTTGACACACGTTCAACGGAGAGCAAGGACCGTCGCCGGCGAGCAAGGGTGTGCCTGTGTAACATGGGAAGGCGAGAGGTTGTCCACCGAGCAGCTCAGCGGTGTCCTACAGCGCTTCGCTTCTAATCGCGGAGCTCTGTAGTCCCTGCACCGCTAAGAAAACGAAGGTAAGGTGTCACGAATTACACCACTACGTATCGCGAAAACTCGACACTCGGCCGATTTACACCACTAAGTTTCCACCGAAAACTATCCACCCTTAGTTAGATATCCCTATCCCTGTGAGTCGCACAACGGTTGGCCACCACATCACTCAACCAGCACTTCGACCTGCAGGGCCCATTGCTAGTAGTGTCTGTGCGTCTCTGCATCTCCCTAAACCCTAAACCCTAAACCCTAAACCCTAAACCCTAAACCCTAAACCCTAAACCCTAAACCCTAAACCCTAAACCCTAAACCCTAAACCCTAAACCCTAAACCCTAAACCCTAAACCCTAAACCCTAAACCCTAAACCCTAAACCCTAAACCCTAAACCCTAAACCCTAAACCCTAAACCCTAAACCCTAAACCCTAAACCCTAAACCCTAAACCCTAAACCCTAAACCCTAAACCCTAAACCCTAAACCCTAAACCCTAAACCCTACATCATAAACCCTAAACCATAAACCCTAAACCATTAATTCTCACCGTTTCATTTAAAAAATCCACATCTATTTCCACCTTATATAACTATATTCAACCACCACATACCTCCTCTTCATCCTACAACCCACCACTTTTCTCCACCACCTAAACTCTCATTTCCCAATCCATTATCCACGTTTCGCCTCATATCCACCATCCTACCACATCTCTCACACTTCCCACACACCATTTACACACGCCATACCTAATTCCCTATCTACTACATCCATCCAACCACCGACCCCCTTCACTCCATCCTACAACCCACTTTTGTCCACCACCTCCACTCACATTTTTCAACCTCATTATCTAATTTTTACCTTATACCCATCATTCAACCACATCTATCCTACTCCCTATACTCCATTTACATACGTCAACCTACTTCGACATAAACTCACTCTATTAAACTATCAACTCCTTTTTCTACATCCTGTCTGTACTTTCATTTTCAAACCGCGTTTACCACTTTTCACCTCGTATCCACCACTTAACATCCCCATCTACCCTCTTCATTGTCCACACACACCAACCAAAACACTTACTTCCCACCACATACCCACCAATCTACCACATATATCCACCTCATTTACACATTACATACTATCTTCTACAATAATCCACTCCACTATAAATAGTGAACTACAATATAGTTTTAACCATATACTTCAACATACCTAAATCAAATTAAATATTAATGCATAATTTGGTTTATTATCGACAAAAAAGTAGCTCATTTGGTTTGTTACCACTGCTACCCATCAACTTATACTTACACCATGTATACTACCACATTTTCCTCGTGTACGATTATGTACTCCACTTCTCATAATCTACTACACTTGTATTCAAAATGGATAAACATCGGCTCCCAAAGCGTAACCTTCGTATGCCCGAAACTAGCAGCTATCAAATAATGGATAACTGACCCGACTCTGACACATGGCACTAGTCAATACGTCCCTAGTACGCTATTTTAACCCAGCCACATAAAATAGAACGGTAACGACAATCGTATCTGCCGCACACACGCTATAATGCAAAAAATGACCGCAGGCGTCCTCAGAACGCTTTGGGTTTCTACACAACACGAATTAGAGTTGTTCCGTTGGCCGTAGGCATCAGCCGCACGCGAAATAATGCTTATTTTGCGGGTGAAGGCGTACCTAGTACGGTGTTTTAACCCAAAACTTGCAAACGTAGTAGTAAATACGTCCCTAGTGCGCTATATTAACCCAGCCACATAAAATAGAACGGTAACGACAGTCGTATCTACCGCACACACGCAATATTCCAAAACGTGATCAGAGGCGTCTTCAGGGGCGTATCGCTGCTACTACACATGGCTGCCTGAATTCACCGTCTTTTAAAACGTGTGACCCCAAGTTTTTAGCTTGCGCGACTTAAAACTGACGCTGGCGTGTGCAGAATGCAGGAAGTATAGAGGAGCTAGAATGAAGCTGTTTGTCCTGTCTCTGGCACTTGATAGTGGTACCACTGAATGCAGCATGTTCCCAAACGTGTGACCCCAAGTTTTCAGCTCGAAATTCGCAAACCCGGTAAAGCTAGTATTATTAGCTGTTGCGCCTGTCTCTGGCACACAAGAGTGGTACGACTGAATTCTGCGTCGTCAAAAATGTACCCTCCTAAATTTTCAGCCAATAAGTCTCTGTTTTAGCCAATATAGCTATCTATTGGCTGAAATCCCTTTTAAATGTCCGCTCTATGCTAAACCCCAAATGACTAGAAATTGTATGGATCGCCTAATCACTTGCTTTCACTATGTGCTAGGGTTTGTAGCTTTGGCATTTTTTTCGCTGTCTTTTGACTTGACATTTGTATGGGTCATTTACCATACAAAACAATCGCGCGGTAGTTAATATAGGGAAACCCACACAAAAGTTGGAGGACATCCAAATTCCGTGGAGGACACGCGGGAATTTCATACTTTAATCAAGTCAAAGACCCGAGGACACGGTGGACAGCGAAAGTGTGCCGCCACACTCCATACAAAACAATAGGATGTCCTCCACCATATAGGGGCCCCGAAACCCAGAATTCAGGGTCCAGGGTCTCACTCAACTCTGGGACTTGGAACTCAGAAGACACCTTACCCAAATGCCCTCCTAGCTCGATAAAACCAACAAATACATAGTATACAAACACTACAACTAGCCGTCACTTATTCTTTTGGACCCTTGGACGGTGGGTCACACACACACTAGGCTCACTCGAGTCTGAAATTCAGGGGCCTAGCTCCCCTGAGACTCACACAAACGCGCACCACCTCCAAAAAAGGAGGAAAATACAACCACTATCAGTTACCTTCCCTTCACACAAGCAGTCAATACAAAATCCTGGAGGCGACTACCTAGCACCCCAGAATACCCTCTGGAATAATATGAAATGGGCTACCACGAGCACAGCAAGTGACCCAACTAGGATATGGAATAGATGGATCACCCCAGGAGGCTCAAAGCCGTCGCTGGTCCCCACCTAACTGGACTTGAGTTGATGGAGTCCACACAGACGACTGTCCTTCGCCGTTGATGTGCCCTTAGCATCCCGCGGTCGTAGTCTCGGGTCCTCCGGATTTCCGTCGGCAGGCTTGGCCGAAGTCACTTGCGCAGTACAGGGAAAATTGAACTCTGTTTGTCTTTTATCAGCTACTTCTCTCTCTCTCTCTCTCTCTCTCTCTCTCTCTCTCTCTCTCTCTCTCTCTCTCTCTCTCTCTCTCTCTCTCTCTCTCTCTCTCTCTCTCTCTCTCTCTTACTTCTTTCTCTTTTGCATTCTTCTTCGGGCAAATATCATCTGTTCACTATGCTTGAGGTCAAATGTCTTGTCTTGAGTATATCTTGGGTTCAGCGGTCCAAACTTGCGATCGGCTTGCGATTCCATTGTCACACGTCGTCGAAAGTGCCAATTGTGGGTCCTTAGACTTGGTTTACAGTGGTCGACAGCATCGATGACGTTTTTTGTTGTAACTTTTCGAGTTTTTGTGCGTTTCTGCTCCAAATTTCTGGAGAGCTTTGGTTTTCCCTCCGTATGGTATGCACAAAAATACAGGAAACAGCGCTAAAAACGAGCGCCGTTTGTCGAAGGGCTATTTTGCCCCTTACCCTATGTGCCTTCTAAGCCAATGAGGGTGCAGCATCTCAACCGTATTTACCAATAACTTCTATAATTTGGTTATCATCATATATGTTATTGTAGAGGGTTTCATGTTTTCATACAAAAATCAGGCTTAAATTGCCCGATGCGTTGAGCACATTTTCTTGACAACAGCTCGATAAAAGGCGACGGAAGTACCATAAATAGCCTCAGAAGACTCAAAGGAATCGATTCATGTGCTAACATAGTGGGGTAAAAAAAACGTCATCGATGCTGTAGACCACTGTAAGTATGGTGCAGGACTCCCTCTCGACTCCTCGAAAGTATCCAGTCTGCGCATCCACAACGGTTCTTCAAGGTCACGCATTACTTTGATTGCAGACTGACTTCGAACTGACTCGAATCCCTGAGAATCAGGTGACACTCAGGGTCATCTTCTGAAATCCTAGGAATTCTTAGGAATCTTGGGGAACTGTAGAGATTCTTGGATGTTGGCTTGGGAAACACTTGAGTTCAGTATAGAGAGTCTGGATTTATGGTCCAAACCCAGAGAATCATCTTTGGAACTCTGGGTCACCTGCACTCAGGGAGGTGAACTCTGGGTCATCGTGTGGCACTCTGGGTTTCCGTGCGGCACTCTGGGTAACAAGTCTGCGGCATTGCAGGCTCGCGTGTATCTCCACAAAGCCACACTTTTAGCGGGTTTAGCGGCCTCCTGCGCATGATCATGGTGGTAGCGGGTTGATTCTCAGGGTAATTTGATCCTCTGGGGCACTCTGAGCCACAGCAAGACGAGGTGTACTCTGGGATACATTCTCCAGAGACACTTTCCACCAGACTTTAGGCACTCATCCTAAGGGAAAGTCCGCGGCTGGACTGAGTGTTCTCTGAAATCCTGGGCGTGCACTCCCAGGATTCACACTTCCAGCCAGCTGGGCCCATCTGCGGTCAGGCGCTGGATTCATCCCGAGAAATCACTTCTCTCCCACAGTCGCCATCCATGTCACACGGGTACAGCCGCGTCGTATTCAAGTCATCCACCAATCAGCATCCAATACAAACTCCAAATCATCAGGTGGCGGCACATCGTCGGCAATTTTCTGGGGACCGCCTCGTGTCAAAGAACAAGCAGGACGGAGCGGAGCTGACACGGTGCCCAACGACGTTAGATCTCCGACGCAGCTTGAGTCAGCATGCCAAGGTTCGACTGCGTAGTGGATTCCCCTTCGTCCGACTCCTTGGTTTCCTCAGGAGAGCGAGCTTCATGAGCAGCAGCAAACTCGGCGACCCACCATCGACGTCCGCAACGACGGCTCTATCATGACCGACGTAGCCACAGCCTCCCTAGTCATGCCTCGAGGAACAAACAAGGGAACATCGTTGCACGGAGCGAACGCAGTGTTGTATGGGTGGCTTGCCGGATCTTGAAACCAGCGGTTACGCCACGGCTCGCGGGCGTCAAGCTCGGCAATCTCAGAGATCCAGCCGTCGGTCGTAGGGATCCACTCCATCACCTCGAACGAGTATTGCATGTAAGAGGGCTCCAAAAGAACCTCGGTCGGGTGCTGGTAGGGCTGCCCGTCGTACTCGATGCATCCTACCCACAGCTTGTTGACCATCCGATCTCGCAACCGGTCAGCACGGTAGCTGCGCTTCTTGTAGTACTTGGCCCACTCCTTGCGAAGCTTCATAACCACCGGGTTGCGGTGACCCAGTGTTGCAGCGAGGTTGTCGATGAATGCTTTGACGGCCTTCGCCCGAATCAAATGACGACGCTCCCACAGGGCCAGCCCGAGGTCGCCCTTCTCGTTAGGGTGAAAGGAATTGCCCTGGAACTGCCTGCTCAGGCGAACGAGGAGTTGATGCCCGGTAGCCCGTCAAGAAATTGCTCGATTTGGCGGGTAGCCAGTCACGTCGATCAGGTATGGATCCGGGAAGAGCTGGCGCAGAACTTGGAAAGGGTGAGCGAGGTTCTCCCACTTGCCGAAGGCCTCGATCCCGTCTGCCGAACACGGAGCAACTCAGTCATCGTCCAAAATCAGAGGCACGCTAGCGTTCTGGATCAAACTCATACACTCTTGACCACCGGGTGACACGAATCCCGGTTCAAGAAACCGTGACGCCAGGTTGTTGAGCTTGCGCGACCCTGCCGCCGCGTCCGAAGCGTCGACCACCGCAGGGGCGATAGAAGCAGGACCAGCCCTCGGTGTGGCAGTCACTGTAGCTGTCACCAACGCGTGAGCATGAACCAAAGTCGACCGAGTGTAAGGTTGGGACAGCGCAGCTGGAGCGGCTTGAGCAGCCACAGGAACCTCGGTCGCCATAGGCTGAGGCGCCGGAGGTGCTGCAGGACCTGTCCGTTGGGCAGCCGAGGCTTCTTCTTCTTCGTCGTCGGAGCCAAACATCTCTCGCATGAGTGCTGCACAATCCTCCGAGGTCTCCGAGCCATCTGACGACCCTCCTTCTGGCGAGCCCCCGGGAGGCGATGAGTCACCGGGGACAGCGGCAGTCCTCATTGGAGGAGCCGACGGCGAGCTTCTCGAGGCAGACGGACCCTCGTTGTCACCAGCAGGAGACTCGCCAGGTGCGTTGCCCATCGGACCAACGCTGACCGAGGCTTGGGACACGATCGACGCAGCTTCGGGAACCGGGACGGCAGGCGGAGACTCGGTGGTGGTAGCAGGAGCCGCGGAAGCGGAGCCTTCAGCCTCCTCTGTACCGACCGGCGCGTCCGGAATCTCGCCGGGCTTAAGTTCGTCTTGCGTGACGTCGTCTGGACTTCCAGCACCGCCGAACACGAAGTCGGGGGGGCCCTCGTCCCGCGGAGGCTGAGACCGAGCTGGCTGAGGAACTGGAGCAGCGCCCGCCAACCTAGGGTATAGCGGCACGTTCGAGTGCTCGTACGGAAGAGGCTGAGCATCCAGCCGGCTAGTCCGGCACGTTGTTGAGGGTCGTGGCATCGACGGAGTCGGTGCAGGGACCTTACCCGATGCTGACCGAGGGCTAGATGACGCAGCGGCCGCTGCAGCTCTGGCTCTCAGGTCGGCCGACATTCTACCGAAACGCTTGGGCGGAGAAGGCTGAGATGCCGTGCCCTCAGCAGAGGCCGACTCGGCTTGCGAATCGCGCTTGCGGTTGGAAGTCCCGGTGGACTCAGACGAACCAGCAGACGCCACCTCCGAAGCCGCGGGAGCGGATGAACCCTCGGTGCGCTCAGCCATCGACACGTCAGCCGTCTTGGGTTCTTCCTCTTCCTCGGACGAGGATTCGTCACGGCGCGGACTCTCGACAGTGACCGTCGGTGGGGACAGTCCGAGGAGGTTCCGATCGATCTCGGCGGCAGAGATGCCAGCCGAGGCCAAAACCAAGGTATCCACGTCGATCCCATGGGCTGCCGAGTGTCGTCGGAGGATAGAGTTTGCCCGTCGCAAGCTGTTGTTCTCGTCCGTCAATGCCCTGATACGGGCAGGGATAACGTTGTCTCGGTCACGGTTGGCCAACTGCTTCCGAAGCTTTTCCAACTGGGTGTTGTAGACAACGAGGCTTGCTTTAATATGTTCGTGGATCTGCGTGTTCAGACGAACAGCAGCTGCTGCGTCTGCTTCCGCGGTCTGCGTCCGACCCTCCAACGACCGAGTAATGTTGCCGTGCTGGGAGATAGCCGCGTTCATCCCCAACAATTGCTGGTTGGCGTGTGCGAGCTCGGTGCGCATGTCCTGGAGGTTCTCGAGCGCCTGGTTGCAGTCTGAGTTGGCCGTCACGAGGAGATAGTCTGCCCGTTGGCGGAGATGCATCTCCTCGTCGAGCTTGTTTTGGGTGTCGGCGAGCTCCTCACGCAGGCGATCATTGTCGCGACGGAGATTCACCAGCTCATCCGACTCCGCGAGATGGAGACGTACAGGGGCCACAGCCGCGGCCAGCACCTCACCGACGTTAGTGGCAGCTTGCAGGCTGCGGTCGAGAGCAGCGTTGACTCGAGCTGGAGGCAAACGGGCAACACCCACGACGAGAAGAGCGACTTCCTGCATCTGCTGCTCGCCCAAGACAGCCGCTGTCGGAGGAACCTCGGACCAGCTCCGGCGCGACCTCCTACAGCTGCCTCGCTTCCCACCGACACCCCGCGAGTTGCCAACGTGACCGAAGGCGCGGGACTTGGCGGCGGTGGAGCGCTGGCGCTTGGCGGCGGTGTCGGCGGCGAGTCAGGGGCCTCTTCAATGGGAACTGCCGGCGAGGGAGTCTCGGTCGCCTCAGCAGCAGACTCAGGACTACTTGGAGGAGCCGGTGGAGGGTCGACCGAGGTCCCGGAGGCGGCCGGAAGGAGCGTAGGGTCACCTGCAGGCACGGCCGGGGCTTGAGACACAGCACCAGCGGCGATAGGGGCGGGGGCACCCGCCGAACGAGCCTGGCGCGCCGGACGACGACCCGAAGTGGTCGGTGGTGACATCAACAGCTTCCTGAGATGATCAAAAAACAGAGATGGAGTCAACACCGAGGATCTGAATGACAGTGAGGAGCAGCAGGAGCGATGAACGTACCGGTTCGGAGCACTGGAGAGCCCGAAGAGCAGCGGCAGCCGCGTCGGCGAACGCACGCGACGGAGGATCCATGGACTCGAAGAACCGAGGACGCCTAGACGCTCACCAGCGTGGGAGGCTCGCGTCAAGGCGGGGGCAGTTGTGGTATTGGAAAGTGGCAGTTTCCAACGCTGTTGACCCGCCAGCCTGACAATCAAGTTCAATCAAGGCGAGGTCAAGCGAGAGACAGAGATGACTTCTGATTGGACTATGACATTATCCTCGGTAGAGTGACAGTCAGTGACCGAAGGCTCGTCGGGTCCTACAGTAATCTGCCCGAATAAGGAACGCCTGATATATATAAAGACGCAGAATATATAAATTGATGTTAAGTTGAGTATACTTTTCCAATGTACTGATTTAGTTATTTCAAAATGAACTGAAGAGCAGCTTTACCTACGAGTCCAGAATGATTCCAACAGTGGCGTATAGTCGAAGCACTAACCTTTGACCAGGCATCCTCGCACCACAACAGCGCTGTCAACTGGTCGACCTCGTAGGGATTATCTAGCCCTTCACCAAGCCGGTCTAGAGCCTGCATCATCTTGCGGGATAGAATGTGTCGCTTAATACAATGAATGATTCCTTGGTCCTTCTCCAGCGGCCACCCCAGCAGGACTGCACTTGACTTGATTATGCGGCATATCGTTGTCTTGCCTGGGGCGGCCGGGAGGCTGAACTCCGTCATTGCCCACTCAGCCAGGCCCTGTAGAAGAGAGCAGGTGTGCGGGCTGCCTTGTCGAGGATGCCCACTTTCTCAGACCAAGTGAGGCGGAGACGCTTGGACGGTGTGGACTTCATGGGTGGAGTGGGGGAGGAGGTGGGCTTGTGGGGCGAGGTGCAAAAGCAAAAGTGCGAGTCTACCACTACGGTACATGTAGTTTGAAGTCTAGTAAGATCGCTAAATGCGCGCCATTTTTCAAACGAGGGTGGAGAGCTGATGATTGGCACTGGAGTTTTCACCTTAGTAGCTCAGTACCATGCACATCCCCCTATCGCCACATCGACTGGAAAATAATATTAAATATGTGAGGCTATTAGTTGTACACCCGTTCCTTATTCGGGCAGAATTCTGTAATAGAACCCCGAACGAGGCTCCACGGTACCAACTTTAGGGTACAGGTGCATTTAGTTGCGTACTTCGACCGCACTTATTAGTGTGACCGCGGTCGTCAGTTGATGTGTCCGGAATCGCCTTATTGCGGTCGTTCACACTAGATATTTGTATGGGTACATGGGACTCATCATGATCAGAACGAGGCCCCAGGGCCTCAGAAAACTCAATAATAAAAAGACAGTCTTCCCCCAAAGCCAACAAGGGTCAAGTCCGACTTCGGTAAGTGTGGCTAGCATATTGTAGTGCATGGACATGCTCGGCTGCGTGTGGATGCCTGTCGGGGAGCTGATCGTGCATTGACCGAGAGTTTCCTTGGCAGCGCCAAGAGTTGGCGTGGCCGGAGAGGCAGGAACGGTATTAGAGTATCGTTCGGTATATATTTGTGAGATTAGAGTGTCCCTGAGTGTATTAATCTACCTACCGAGGTTTTACCTTGGTCCCCCTGTATAAGGCCTAACACACCGGTACCCTTCCTTTCTGGGGGACTGCAGTGGGGTTGCGCGAAAGCGCTACAGAGTACCCTAGCCTTAGCTCGTGGCTAGTGGTACAGGTTTTTGGGTTGACCGAAGATAACCTAAGGTGCACAGATGCGCTTGCAACCGACCCGGTGTAAGGGATCGTTCCTGGCCTTCCGGTTTTGATCCAATAAGCGCTTACCTTTGCCGGTTAGCGTGTTGTTGGTGTCTCTAATACATTTTGGTACAAGAGAATTTTAGTGGTATTACCACACCACACACCACTACCACCGTCTACATCAATACCCCCCCCAACCTTAACGCCCACTTCCCGCCTCACACCCACCAACCAAACACATGTAACATGCTACACACACCTCATTTCCACACCCCACACCAACTTACATATCAACCAGGCCTTTTGGTTGTACCCCATTTACCGAAACCCTAGACACGATAATTTTTATCTCTCTGATGGGCATGTATAATGAACTCAGTAGTTTTAGTAACGTGTCTTTTTCAAAGTCGGGACGGCTCCCTATCCCTAGGACTCTCCTGTCTATCCTATCATGTCGGGTCCAGCCAACACCGACGAAGACGAGTAGGGCCGCATCCACCCATGTCCCCGTCCATGCTGACGAGTGGAGGAAGGGCAGTGGACAGGAGACTCGGAAACGTCGCCAGCGAGCCTGCAAAATTTGCTCGGTGTTGAAGCGCGCGGATCAAGCACGTGGGGGTGAAACGACGTTTTACTGCGCGGCATGCAAACCGAAAACTGCGTCCAAGCACGCGCTGCCCTCGCGCGTGTTCCTGGGTAACAAGGTCTAGCATACAAGCAATGGGGTGGCTACATCGTCCTTTGAGATTTGACACAAGCACTGGAAAAACGGCGCGCTGATTCCACAGGTGCGACGCAAGCGCAAACTGCGTGCTCGGAAGCCTGCGCGTGTTCGTGGTGACGACGAGAGTGCTGGAGGCGACGCGAGTGATCGGTCTGGTGACGATTCGGCAACCGTCGTCCCGCCGCTGCGGCGCCAGCGTACACGAGCCATTGATGACCCGGAGAGCGAGGGGGACACGAACTAAGCAGACTGTAATTGACTTGATTTGAATATACCTCATTTGCAAGGCGTGCTTGCAGATCGTCATCTTCTTTTAGTTCAACAAGCGTTTCAGTTTAATACTCGGCGATTGCTTCGTCTTTGGTACGTCATTGTGCAGTCTATATCACCAACATACACAATAACGTCCCTATCATGTACGATTATGTATATGACTAGGGATCACTATGCTAGAGTGAACCGGATACATTTACACCGTAGGCGGCTTTGCCGCAATAAAGGAAAATACATTCAGTTTGAGATTTACACACTTAAGAGTTAAAGGTTGACTCTTGGGGTCCGTAAGGAGTACGGACTCGTACGTTCTGGTGTTAGAACGTGCTATCTTAAATGTCGACTCTATAGTGTTCGATGAAGTGTCTGGCATAACATAGGTAATTTGGTATGGTAGACAGTGACGGTCGCCTACATCCAATGCATCTAAACTTCGCTATCCGACCAACCTCAAAAGAATCAAGTGCGCAGTACTGCAAAGCCGACTCGTGCAACAACCCAAATTGTCGAGCACAAGCACAAGTCTGTGCACCACGCTCAAACTTACGGGCCGGGTGTTAAGTGGCGCAGTCGCTCGTCGCGGCAGGGCGGCCGGTAGAAGAGGCGGCTTGCCGGTTTCAGAGAAGAATTGGCAATTGCAAGGCAAAAGTCTGAACACTAATCGGTTAGCAAGTTCCAGATGAGTTCAGAGCTGAACTCTTATCTATGAACATATCGCAGAGAGGGCTTGCCCGCCTATTGTTAGTGCGATGAGAGTATGGAGCAAATGGAATAGGAGCTGCCCGAGGGCAAAGGCCGAGAACGAGCATACTTCCGTTATCGCTTCAATCACATCAACAACATTGGGCCACACAAGAAGGTGGATTGCCCCAAGCGGAAGCTCGACCAGTGTGGCAAGGTGTCTGTGTTCCGCAGGAACATCCTAGCCAAGGGCTTCAAAATCGAGCGTGACATGAACGGTCCCACATAGAAGGGGCAAGTCAAGGTCAAGGTGTAGGAAAAGGCGAAGCCCAAGGCAAAGAAGAACAAATAAAGACCGTCGGCGGTTGCTCAGCTGAATGTACCGGCTGATGCTGTGCACCCAAACACACTGGCTGTCTCTCTGAGCCCTCCAAGCTCGTTGTGGACGCCGATGACGCCTGGCTCTAGCGACATGCTAGAGGTCGAACCTATGGGTACAGACGAGCTCATGAGCGTGTTCGACATTGGATGTACTGAGCCACTTTATTCGCTCCAATAAAGTGGCTCAGTACATCTCATCAGCTGCAGATGAACTTCGGGGATAAGGTACAGTCTGAGTATCCTTCTTTGCTTGGCTGAGATAAGTTGCTGACAAAATATTCGTACTGGACTCAGGATGCGGGTTTGTCCTGACCAGTGATGAGTCCAAGTTCGAAGAGAAACAGCCCGACTCTGGATACATGTCCATTTTTGCAAAGCAATCTAAACATACAAATGCACACGTTGAATCCATTAAACTTTATTTGCATGACCCGCCAGGGATCCGACCGTGTCTTTTTGAGAACGTAGCATTTGTACCACATGTAAAGTCCAACATTCTCAGTGAGTATTGGCTTACAAGGGACCTTGAGCTTGTCAAAGGCGTCTCGGTGCCTCTTTTCCCAGAACCAGGGCGCAGCACGAGACGTCAGCTGCGTCATCAGAGCCAGCAAGTGTGTGCGTTGCGACCAGACGTCTCGGTAATAATTGAGAAGGCCGATGAATTGGCGTAGTTCGCGCTTTCTGCTCGGGGCTCGAATGCGCTGAATCGCCGCATCTTCTCTGATACCCTCCGTTGTGATCTTATAGTCCACGTAGTTGGCCTCAGTCACTGCGAACTTGCACTTCCAGCGTCACGCAGGCGTGTAAAGACTAGGGGACTTGAACTTCATGATGAAGCTGGTAGTGTCCACGCCATCTCGCCACGTACGGTGTGTGCGTGTCCTACACGTGCGCAAGATCCTTCAAGGTATCTGGGAGGTACGGTACAGCGTGCTGTTCATGCTGCAGACGCACAACGACAAACGCGGCAGTTGCTCTGAAGATCGCCCTGGATGTGTGGCGCGAGAAGCTGATCGCGGAGGAAGATGCTGTGGTGCAGGTGAGGCCGCGCCACCTGGATCAGCTGCTGCACCCGAGCTGTGTCAACGAGAAGGGTACAGAAGGACGTGATGTGGGGAGACTTGCTGGCGTCTCCGGGCTCGGCCATGGGCATTGCCCACTGGGCAAGATCATGTTCACGGCGACCGACGCGGAGGCGTGGTTCGCGCGTGGCAAACGTCGTACTGGTGCGCGAGGAGATGTCGCCAGAGGGTGTGGGTAACATGCACGTGGCCGAGGGCATCCTCATGTTTCACGGTGGTATGACGTCCCACACAGCTAGGGCAAGCCGTGCATATGCGGCTGCAGCGCTCTGTCCATCGACGCCTACAGCAAGATAATGCGCGTGCATGTGGTGAAGTGGATCGAAGATTTTCAGAGACATCGCCAGCGGCAGTCAGGTAATGTGTACCATCGGATCCTATATCTGTATGGATAAATCTGGTAGAGATGGGTACCCAGATTTTGTTACAGATTCTAAATCTGGGTACCGGTTGATATGGAACAGAGTAGAGAGTCAGTAGAGGGTGGGATTCAAACGGGATGAGAAGGCAGGGCATAGGCTAACATAAATCAGAGTCGAATTTGCTTGGGAACCACACACTTGGCCCTTAGTATTGGGATTAGTATTGACCCATACTTTAATCAAGTCATTTGCCCCCCGCCCACGTGGCAGACTGCTGGATAGCTTGGCCAGCAGCTCGCGCCCTTCGGCCCTCGCCTCTCACTCCCCCGCTAATAGGAGGCGGTAAGCAACGTAAAGGAAAAGAATACAACACCCCAACAAGGCAACAACCCCGGATATGGTATGTTACTTATCTGATCCACAAGATCTACGGCCAAGACCAAGGATCAACCTACCCAGTCCCGCGTGAAGGAACCCCCACTGCGGATCTACCCCAACATCTCCCCAAGTCCCCGTCAAGGACATCCAAGCTCCCTCTCTGCGTATCTCGTGTCGACGAGAGAGCAGATCCAGTCCGCCGACGGTTATACAAGGTGAGCTACTCAGCAACCTATGGTTATCGGAGTACCCCCTCCGTTAGTCGGTGTCTGGGCGCAGTGTGTGAGTGTGGGATCCCTGCTATTTCCAGCGGATCCACTCCACGCCATGCACACACGTCGAGCGCCGCTGTGGGGGTGCTACACGAGGGCGACTATATCAGCGTGAATGGCGGGTGATCAAAGGCGAGCAGTAGCTGCAGAAGGCTGCCAGTGAGCGGTGAGTTGGCACAGCTCATAAAGTGGATGGACACACACGACCGCATGAAGCTGTTCACGAAGACATGCCCCAAGACAACCGCGAGACTCAGGTTATCGGCCTCGCGCGCGAGGAGCACATGGTCTTCAGCTCTGCGCAGCGTATCGCCACTGGGTAGCTGGACTCGTAGGCGCAGCTGGGGAGGTGCTCGACACGCTGTGCACGCTCCAGCAGGGCGACTTCGACCCCCCCTTCAACATCCGTATCCTGGACCCGCTGCTACCCGAGTTCCTGTCGTATGAGGGTAGCGCTCTGAAAGACTGGCTGAGACGCTGCCAAGGTGATAGAGGTGAGCATCGGTGGATTCGTCTCCGAATAAAGGAATCTGTCATCGCTGTTTTCCGCTGAAATGTCTACCAAGTAACCTGATTACAATGATGAATGACACGGAGTATATTTCGGCTGCGCCTAGCGTGCATACCTGCTTAGATGCTCCAGGACGAACTGTCTCGTCGCTTAGAGTCCTAAGACGAGTTTCTCGGCAATTGCGTCTGCTGGTGGTTTTGGGCCCATTCGGGAAGCTTTTCTGTAAATTGAGTCTTGTTTCGAATATCGTATACAGTAATTTGTCTCAATAGCGCAATGGCTACATTTATACATTCTCTGAGACAATTGCATAGGAGAGGCTAGCTCAACTCTCATTGGCTGGATTTGGAAAGTGTACAGATAATCGTTTCAGCAGGTTATTCGATGCCGCGACTGCGCTTTTGAGGCAAATTACTGTATCGATACAACGCGTGAAATGAGGGGGTATGGATGAATATGACGACTTATCCGACCATACTTAGAATTTGTATGTGGTGCAGTCTCTCGCGATCGACCAATCACCTGTTTTTATTTATAATCAACGAATCACAACACCGAAGAAAAACAATGTTAACCAATCACAAGATATAGGGTTAGGTAAGTCCTCTACACCAGCCGTTCCGACATATCGGGTCGGAGGGCCTCAAAAAATATGTGTATCTCTATTCAAACTACTGGTGTAGAGCATATCACTTACATATTTGCTCCCTATCCGACCACATCGCCGAGGATGGGCTTGGATGAGCTCAAGCCGGGCAACACTAAGCGCGCGAAAGACACTGCCATCAGTGCATTTATGGCATTTGTGAAAAGTGAGCATGTAGAGTTTGACTATGTTAGACAATGCATTGAACAAGATGGCACGGGTAAGTGTTTTGTGTCTGTATTGGATATGTTTGGTATGTGCATTGCATTCAACGAGGGTAAGAAGGGCAAAGCGCTTGCTCGGAACACTGCCATGCAGTACTTCAGACAGAGCAAAATGTGGCTGTTCGAGCTATTTCCTGTGCAACGACATATTACCGACGCAAAGTTGCTTGGCATGGGGAAGACTCTCGACAGCTACTGCATGAAGCGAGACGGAAAAGTAGTCAACAAAGCACCACCGTGCTCAAAGAGTGACCTAAAAAAGATGATGTTGTATTTGTATCAGCACGCACACTCCTCTAGTGACTACCAAGACGCCGCTTTGCTGTGTCTGCTGTGGTACCTGTTTGGTCGCGCCTCCGATTTGTCGCTTGTCCACAAGCAGAACCTCTCGATCGACGCAGCAGAGGTTTTCTTCGTACGCTTCATACGCATGAAGACGTCCGAAGAACAGGGACTCTCGCTGTTTCCAGGGACCGACTTCGTCACTTGCCCGCTTCACGCGATGGCCGTGGCGATCATCACCCAGACGGGGCCGTCCGTCAGCTTGATTGACAACTTACCTGACGTCCAAGTTGAAGCCGCGGTCGATCTCTCCCCAGCAACACCACTGGTGGATGTCCTAGACCATCTAGATGAGTTCGCCGCTCTTGGGAGCGCCCCCGCACCTGCCGACCTTGCGCCTGCCCCCGCTACACCTGCACGCAAGGACACCACACCGACGATCTTCACGCACGTCAACCGCATCCTGGACCGCATTGCACACAGAGCTGGGGTAGTCGATGCGCTCACGTCGCACTCGTTTCGGCGGGGTGGCGCGCAGCATGTGAACGGCTGTCACGATCTGACTCATCGCTGGATCTTCGACCGAGGCGCTTGGAACATGAGCACGACGAACAAGGGCTTCAATTACATCTTCAACACGAGCAGGGAAGACCACAAGGTTAGCAAGGCTCTCAGCAGATACAGCACGAAGGCAGATGTAAAAGCGCTGAACTTGAAGTCGTTTGATGCAGAGACGCAGCAGAAGATTTTCGCAGTCCAGAAGCTGTTGTTCGCGACCTGCTACAAGATGGAAACCTCAAAGTACAACATCATTCAGCAAGTGGCTGACGTTCTCACAGCGTACCTTGTCTTGTACTACCCCCAAATGAAGGAGCTTCAAGCTGGAGGCATTACTGTCCAGCGCATCGAGGTTGCTGTTGTTAACGCGGGGGATTTGATTGCTGAGCTATTAGCGTGGGCATCGCATCTTGCGCCTTCTGGGAGCAGAGAACCTAAGCCAAGACAGGACAAACAGAGCCATCGCCCCAAGAACCAAGCTACTCAAGCAAGATCATCGACCATCAGCGCCGTGTCATTGACCAGTTAATCCAGCATATAAAACGCCAGGATGAGCGCATGGATAACCTAGAAGCAAAGGTAGATGGGAACAAAGCGCTAGACAAGAGCATGTAACGTCAGCAAGAGTCCAGCGAAGATCTAGAGAAGCCCAAGCGCAGACGCGGGTCTGCATCGCACCCTCATGCTACGTGGTTTGCGTGGTACGGCCAGGAGCCGCGGATGTGGGAGGCGTCGATCTCGAAGCATCAGAAGTCCGATGCCAAGCTGCTCGTAGCCTTCATGAAGCTGTTTTAGGCGGAGGGCTTCACGCTGGATACCACTTCTGCCGACTACCGCGATCGTGTTCTCGAGCTAGGGCAGCGCGCGGAGGAGGCCATCTACGCATTCCTCGCCGAGCGCAACATCACGCCGCGTGGCTCAAGCGCCGTCCTCAAGCATATGCGTGTCCTCCATTGCTCGGGCGACGTCAACGCGAAGATCGAGCACCACCAACGTCTCCTCCAGACAGCAGCAATCCGTGACCCTGCCCCCGGATACTCGCAAGACGTGCTAGAGGTAGTTAGACAGTAAACCAGAGAGATGCACTCTGAGCGACGTACCGAGCTCTGTGCGCCACCCAGCAAAATCCAGACTGAATGGGTTACGTGGCGTGTCTATGATCGTCGAGTAAACCCGAAAAACCTTAAACGTGTTGGTCAAAAGTCGAGTTTACCAGAAAAACCTCGACGAGGATAGGCGAAAACCCTTGATTCAAGACCAAAATAACCTCGTCGAGAATGGCAGAAAAATGGAGCCACCCACTATTCAAAACCAAGCTCCAGGGCCCAATGGACGACACGGGCACACAGCAGCACACGATAGCAGAGAGGATTGAGTTCGTTGTGGCGGTGGAGAAGCATAATTGGAGACCCGAAGATGCTGCAAAAGTATTCGGCATTCCCCGAACTACGCTGTTGGGCTACGTAGATGCCAAAGATGATCTGTTTTCTACCGAGGCTGATCCATGGACAAGACGGGTAACGCGCCCTGGATTGCCCCCGCCGACGGAAGGATCTGAAGCTCCCGTGGTTGCTTTAGTGAGGCAAGGAGCTGTCGACGGTAATCTGATGTCTCGAGCGAGATTATCATAGAGTGTGCTCGTGTCATCCCTGGTATGAGCAATAAGTCGGGTAGCGCTCAAAAATCATGGCTCACCCGTTTTATCGGTCGAAACAAGCTGGCCGATCATGTTGCGCGATACCCCAAAAAGTCCAAGACATCAAGATCTGATCAGGATGCCAAAGCAGCTAAACGGCACAAACCGTGGCAAGTTCACGTCTTGGACGCGTCCTGCACCGACTGCTGAATCTTGCTGATCTCCGTGACCACGCCGTGGCCCAGGCCGTTGACCACGACCGTGGCAGCGAACCTCATGTTGGTCTAGCCCTAAATGAAGTTCTCCGTGCCTTGCAGCAGCACGTTGACGTCCTTGTTGACCCACGTGGACTCGCCCTTCACCTGCAGTGGGTGGCCGTCGTCTTCACGGACAGCAGGCGCAGGTCTCCACAGACCTTGTCCTCCATGCGGACCTCCTCCATGTCACCGGGAAGAAGCTCGGGCGCAGGCAGCGCTGTCGGGCATCACGTGCACGTTCTCGGACTGCAGGTCCTTGAACACCACCAGCGCGGGTCGGAGAGAAGCTCCTGGCGGCACAGTAGCGTTGCATCGCAGCATGCTTGTAGCGCAAGTCAGCACCTACGTAGTTTACGTAAGAAGCAGATTATACCTTACCTAAGCAGGGTGGCTGGGGATCGGCCCTGCTGCGGGCGCACGACTTGTGCTGGGAGCTGGCGCAGTCGCAGCCGACCGGCTGGTACGGGGGGGTCGTGATGAGGGACTCAGAGATCCGATTTAAAAAACTCGGGGGTGGGATGGCGTCCGATATATTTAAACTTAACCCTATCAACGTCGGATATATCATTTCCGACCACTACGATATCCGAGGTAAAACTGAAGGGCAAAATAACTGCAAGGCACAATATCTCTTAATGCCCTCTAATAGACTAGCGCTCAGTCGTTGGCAAAAGGAGAAGTGAGCTCTCTCCGAATGCCGTCACTTGTAACTTGGCTGCTTTTGCGTGCGTCTGTAACTCACACCGCACAACGAAGGAGGAAGAGAAGGTGAACGCGCTGCGGGGGAGTAAAGCGACTTGCTGCTCCCGTTGTATTTTTGTGTTCTGTGGTTTCCCCCTCTTTACTTTTCTCTCTCCTTTCCCAGCTCCTGAGCCTTTTGTGTATCTGCACTTCAACTTACTGTGGAGCAAAAGCTACACTGCAACACTAGCAACTGGTGAGGATCAGTAATTCACAATAGCCCCACCTACTGGTTGTCAACGTTGCACGAGTTCGTGGTAGTCTCGTATTGCCCTTGGGAAATCAATCCCATGCTTGCTCGATGCTGCTCAAACTTCACTCAAGGCAGTGGCTTCGTGAATGCATCGGCCACATTGTCAGCCCCAGCCACTCGTTTCGCAGTTATCTCGTTCAGCTCAACACGTTCGCGGACAAAATGATGCCGCGCATCAATGGGTTTTGTCCGGCTGTAAAATTCAGGGTTGTTTGCGAGCTGTCAAGCACTTTCGTTATCCACAAATACATCAGAGGGGTTGTTCTGCTTCATCATCAGCTCTTTCAACATCTGCCGCAGGTGGATGACTTCTTGGACAAGAAGATTGAGCGCCATGTACTCAGCTTCTGTCGTGTGCAATGCGACCGTCCGTTCTGTCTGACTTGCCCATGAAATTGTGCTGCCACCGAACTGGGTGAGATACCCAGCAATAGACTTCCGATCGTCCACTCGGTTCGCAAAGTCTGCATCTGCAAAAGCTTTTAGATGGTCATCCAATTCCTGCTCCTTCCATTGCACTCCTCGTAATTGTACCCCCCAGTCCTGCGTCTCCCTTAACTAACGCAACCCACGCTTTGCTGCGCGCCAGTGCAAAACCCCAGGGTTTTCGAGAAATTGACTGCACTCACGGACCAGGTAAGCCAAATCAGGGCGCGTGACCAACATCAAGTACATTAAGCTGCCAATTACAGCCCGGTACGGCTTTCCATTCATCAGCTCCTTCTCCTCTCTCGTGGTCGGACACATGACCTTCGACAGCTTCAAGGCAGGAGTGCTTGGCACTTTGCAGCCATTGCATCTTTCCATGCCAAATCGTTGCAATACTTTGTCTGCATACTTGCGCGGGTTGATGAAAATTGTCCTCTCCTTTCTGTTTCGTGTTATCTCCCAGCCCAGGATGTAGTGAATCGGCCCCAAGTCCTTCATCTCAAAACGCATGTGAAACATCTGCTTCAGCTCCTTCATCAACTTCGTGTTGGGGGCGAAGAGAATCAATCATCCACGTAGATGGAGATAAACACCAACTCACCATCGACCATTTCACAGCAACACAAGCCTCACAATTCATTATCGTAAAGCCTTGTTTCTCTAGGTGGTCTTTCAGCAGGCGGAACCAAACACGGGGGGCTTGCTTTAAGCCATACAGGCTTTTATCCAGCTTGCAAGCCCAGTCCTCTTTTCCTGCTTCTTCGTACCCCTTGGGTTGCTCCATGTACACTTCTCCATCGATAGCGCCATTCAAGAATGCGGTCGTCACGTCCATCTGGTCGACTTCGTAGTCCCAGATTGAAGCTAGTGTCAGCAGCATCCGCGGAGTCTCCAAGCGGACCACAGGTGAGTACACTTCAAGATAGTCAACGCCATAGACCTGCATAAAGCCCTTGACCACCAATCTGGCTTTGAACCGCTCGATTTCTCCGGTGGGAAGATACTTCACACGGAATATCCAACGGTTTCCGAGCACCTTCATACCTTTCTGGCGAGGGGCCAGCTTCCATGTGCCATTTTTCATTAAGGCATGGTACTCGGTATCCGCTGCTGAACGCCACTCCTCTGCGTAGTCGCTATTCATTGCATCATCCAGGGTATCTGGCTCATCAATCACACTATCCGAAAGACAACAGAAGTCCTGCCACCAATCCATTGCTTTCTCTTTTGCAATTTCAAACTGCATTTCATCACGTTTCACCTCCCAGCTTGATGAACCAGCTGACCGCTTCTTCTCAATTGAGTCTCTGTACGCAAGATGAATGGTGTCGCCAAGCCACCGCGGTGGCTTCGACACTCTGCCACTCTTCGTCCGGTATTCTCTGCAGCCAGGCTTCGGCGCCTTACTGCGAGGTGCATCTCGCTGCTCAGAGACGGTTAGGTCCCCCATCGGCGAGTCACCATCAGCATCCAGCTTCTCGTTGCTAGCGGTCGTCATCCCACCAGGCGAACGAGTCGAAGACTGCTGCACTTCTGCCTCCTTATCATCTTGCTTCACAGCCGGTGTCACACACCGCCCACTGCCCGGACCATCAGACTCCTCGTTTGGTGTCTCACACCGTTCACACCTTCGTTTCTTTCTTTTCCCTATTTTTCTCTTCTTCCGACGAGGCGCACTCTCCTCACTCACCCGTGCTGCTTCTGCACTTGGTTTCACTTTTCCAACAGTGCGAGTTCTTTTGCGCGAAACCGAGTTTCCACTCGCGCGCGCTCTTCTTCGCGACGGCACGGTCTCACACCAACCTGCTGTGCATGATCTTCACCAGTAGTCTCTGCTCGCACTGCTCCTTCATCAGCCCCACCAGTTCCGCACTCTGATGCATGCCTCTCGTCAGCTTGCGCTTCCTCCAACAGAGACGGAATATTGTGCATCGTCGTAGCATCAATGTCCAAGTACTCGGATGTGGGGACTGATGGCGCCTCTGTACCATCCTTCAACAGAATTCGTCCAGGTTTATCTTCGTAGAAGACGGCTGTGTGGCTGTAGAACGTCGTGTTCGTCTTGCTGTCCAGCAACCGGTAGCCTCTTCTCTCACGAGAATAGCCAACGAATACAGCTTCTTTCGCTCGTGAATCCATTTTCTTACGCTCAACTTTGTCAACATACGCTAACACAGCACAACCGAACGTCCGAAGTCTCGAGTACGCAGGTGTCTCTCTGAACCACACTGCATACGGGACTTGCATTCCTTTTCTCTTGTTCGGCACGATGTTCACACAGTATGCTGCAGTGACAGCGGCCTCCGCCCACATCTACTTGGGCAGCCCGAAATGCTCCAGCAAGCACCTCATCCTCTCAGTCACCGTGCGAATCATTCGTTCAGCAACCCCGTTTTGCTCTGGGGTATGCTTCACAGTCAGTGAGCACTCCATTCCGTAGTTGCGTTTGCACTTCTCACCGAGCGCCAGTAGTTCGCGAGCATTATCACAACGAAGCTCCTTCATTCGAATTTTCAATTGTGTTTTTAGTCGCTCATAGTAGAACTGGAACTTTGCGTAGACGTCGGTGCGCTCTTTCATCAGGAACAGTGTCGAGAAGCGAGAAGCCTCATCGACGAAGAGAGCAAAGTAGCGCATGCCCGAGTACGAAGCCACTGGATACGGTCCCCAAACATCCACGTGGGCTCGTTCTCCAACTAACCAGTCACGAGTCGAACTCGGCACCGAGTGAAAACTCTTTCTCGTCATCTTGCCTCTTACACATGCTTCACAGTTGAAGCCTCGCCCGACTCTCAAATCCACAGCTAACAGCGGCCAGTCTGCATGACGAAATACTGCGTTGAATACTGTCCGTCCTGGGTGACCAAGGCGCGTGTGCCACAGCTGCACCTTGTGGTCTCCATCAGTGGCGACAACCAATGCGGAATCCACAGGACTCTCCAGCTCCAAGCAATAAAGATTGGTTCTGTCAACATGTGCCTTCGCACTTCCTTGTTCAAACTTCACCTTTGCGAATTCATCGTCGTCAAAGTGAACTCGAACCTTCTCATCATCAGGCAGGGTTCGTGCGGTTTGTCGACACACTGAGAATAAACTGCATTGCAGCTCTGGAACATAACGTACTCCACGCAGTACTAACGTCTGCCGCCCACTTGTAGTCTGGATCTCCTTTTTCACAGTACCAATTTCAGCTACAGTCAACCAGTTCTCACCACCAACTCTCACCAATGCACTCATGGCTGTGAACGAAATAAAATCAATTTTCGGGTTAGTCAAATGACTTGTGGCTCCCGAGTCCAAGTATCAGCGCTTGCTCGCAAACTTCTGCACGTTGGGAGGCTTCTTGATGAGAGCAGTAACCACGTATGCCGATTCATCACTCTCATCCCCAGTATACTGGTCCTTAGCAGCTCGTTTTCCTTGCGCTCCTTCTACCTTGGCTTGCTTATGAGGAGGCTCGGATCCACGAGCACCACTTGGCGGATGTCTGCCTAAGTGCGGGCAGTCCAGCACTTGGTGCGATTGCTCTCCACAATGAAAGCACCTTCCTCTACTGGTACCTTGTCCTCCGTGACCACGTCCAGCTCCTTGGCTGCTTCCTCGGCCACCACCACGACCAAAACTATGCCCTCGGCCACGTCCTCCACTGCGACCACCACGGCCACGATCAGAACCACGACCACGACCTCGGCCTCGGCCCCGACCTCTACCAAATCCTTCAAACAATGCTTGGTCTTCACTACCTTCGTCCAGCTTTCGTCCTTGGCGCCGATCATACGCGAGCTCCAACGCATGCTCCAATTGATCATAGTTGGGAGGGTCATTTACATCTCGAGGCACGTGACTTGCCAGAAACGTTTCCACCACGTTATCATAGGCGTCAGGCAGTGTGCCGATCAAAATCACAGGCTTCTCATACTCATCGAGAGGTTTACCCAATAGAGCAATTCGATCAATTAATCTTCGCACTTCACCCAAATGATCAGACATGTTGCCGTTCTCCGGGAGTCGGAGCTTCCTCAGCTGTGTCATTTCAGCTGCATACTTTAAATACGTTTTTCCGACGAATCTCGGCTTCAATCTCTCCACTACCCGGAACGCAGTCGGCTCAAACTTCACAGTTTTCATTATCTTGTCCGTCATTCCGTCGTAGAGTAGCTCCTTAACGCGTGCAGAGTCCTTCTTCCACTTGTCGTGCTCGTCCTGCTTCGACTCCTCCAGCTCCTCGATGTCCTTCTCACAGTACTTCCACACGCCAATACGTTCCAGCTTCAACTTCATGCGCTCGAACCACACCTCGAAGTCCTTGCCATCGAACGGTGGGTGAGCGGCCTTCTTCTCGTCCTTCGTGTCCTTCTTCTTCGTGTCTGCACTTGTACTCATAGTCTTCATTGTCGGGGAGTTACCAACGCACCGTTGGGCTCATAACCACTTGTAACTTGGCTGCTTTTGCGTGCGTCTGTAACTCACACCGCACAACGAAGGAGGAAGAGAAGGTGAACGCGCTGCGGGGGAGTAAAGCGACTTGCTGCTCCCGTTGTATTTTTGTGTTCTGTGGTTTCCCCCTCTTTACTTTTCTCTCTCCTTTCCCAGCTCCTGAGCCTTTTGTGTATCTGCACTTCAACTTACTGTGGAGCAAAAGCTACACTGCAACACTAGCAACTGGTGAGGATCAGTAATTCACAACACCGTCAAACATCATCGCACGAGCGGTCGCCAACAGGGCGCCCCCTGATTGGCTAGTTATGTAGTCCTATGATTGGCTCTCCCTTAACCAATGGGAGAGCGCCTTAATACCAGCGGGTACACTTTACCCTCAAGCCTTTACAGAGCCTTTACGGTCTCTCGGGAACCTCATTCTAACACTCCCACTAAGTGTTCACCGCTGGTAGTACGCTTTGCACACCTATCTTATCTCTCGAAAATGTAAATTGTTTAGTAGGAAGGGCCTTAGTCAAAATGTCTGCTGCCATGCTAGCTGTTGAGCAGTACTCAATTATCAGACGGCCTTCGTCTACTAAGTCTCGTGTGAACAAATACTTTATCTCAATGTGCTTACTAGCCTTGTGGTTGCCTGGGTTCTTTGTGATACTGATAGCAGACCTGCTATCACACCAGACTTGCACAGGTTTCGCTTGAGGAAACCCCATTTCCGATAGCAAGTGCCACAACCATTCGCTTTCCTTTGCACCTTCGCTCAATGCGATAAGCTCTGCTTCTGCAGTTGATAGGGAAACACATCCTTGCTTACTACTGCACCAAGATATACTGCAGCCAGCCATCTTAATCACATATCCCGTGATTGATTTACGTTCTTTTGATTGACACGCGAAGCTTGCGTCTGTGTACACCTCATACGTTACGTCCTTTGACTTTCCGTCAAGTAATAGACCGTACGTCGCCGTCCCTTTCAAGTATTTCAGTACTCTCCTAGCTGCATCCCAATGGGTTTTATTGTAGCAGGACAAATACTTGCTCAATTCCCTCACTGCATTAGCAATATCTGGTCTAGTACCTCTCACTAGGTATTGCAGCGACCCAACCAAACCTCTGTAATCAAATTTCTGAGCTGCTATCTCATCCGCAGTCATCTTAGTTTCGGGTTCTAACTCAAGACCTGTAATCTGAGGTGTCGCTACAGCTGAGCTGTTCTCAATGTTATACTTCTTCAGTAGTTCCAATATATACTGATGTTGAGAGATGGACATTGTCCGTTCTTCTGTGTTTCTGCGGACTTCCATTTTGAGGATTTAGTGGACATCCCCCAAGTCTTTCATCTTAAATCTCATAGATAGTTCCGCTTTGACTTTATTGATCAGTCTCATACTTTTCGACATGATCGTCAGGTCATCGACATATACCACGATGATGACCCAATCATCTCCCACTTTTTGTACGTAGATGCAAACTCCTTATTGCAACGTACAAAACCCATTGATGTGAGAAAGTTATGCTGCACCTGATACCAAATTCTAGGAGCCTGCTTCAACCCATAGATGCTTTTCCGCAGCTCACACACATAGCCCTCCTTCCCTGGTGCATGATAGCCCGGAGGTTGTCTCATGTATATGCGCTGGTCTCCATCCATGGTTCCATTCAAGAATGCTGTGTGAACATCCATCTGGTGGATATGACAATCGAGAATGGTGCCAATTGCTAAGACAAGGCGTAAGGACTCAAACCTCGTCACTGGGGCGTATACCTCGTCTACATCAACTCCAAACTCTTGATGATTTCCTTGAGCAACAAGTCGCGCTTTAAAGCGTTCTATTACTCCATTAGCATGGTATTTTACCACAAGTACCCAATGACACGGTAGTGCCTTTCTCCCAGGTGGCAGCTTTACTAGCTTCCAAGTGCCGTTATCTATTAGGGAATCGTACTCAAGATCAAGTGCACGTCTCTACTCTTTCCTATGTGGTCCTCGCAATGCTTCCTTAAGGTTGCGGGGTATTGGTATCTTATTCTGGAGAGTTTCCAGGCCATTAACTTTGTCCATGTGGGTTTGGTAGCACACATAATCCCCAAATTTAGCTGGTTTTCGTGTTTCACGTCGTGGTCTTTTAGCCGGCTTGGCTCCCACTGCCTCTACTAACCCTCGCTTTTGCTTAGGTGCTCCCACTGTTTGGTCAGACACTTGTTCTGTATCTGGTTCTCCCACTGCTCGGGTTGGCCCTGAGCCGGATGTAGTCTCTCCAACTGGTGGGGTAGAGTCTGTATTCTCCGCATTTTGTTCCTTTCCAAATGCACGCAACACTATATCAGCCCCGTGTTGTGTGTCGAACATTACGTGTCTTGAGTATATGAACCGGTTGTTGTACACATCCAAAAGCCGGTAACTCTTGTACTCGTCCGATATTCCCAAGAATCTGCACTTTACCTTCGTGCAGATAATTTCTTTTCTTTTCTTCGCTCTTTAGGTACATGCGCAAAGCATATACTTCCCTAAATGTGAAGGTCACTTATGTCTGGTGGTTTACCGTGCATCATTTCGTATGGGGTCTTATTACCCAGACGACTCATAGGCGTTCTGTTTTGCACATAGGTCATGCACATCAGTGCTTCTGGCCACCAACGATCAGCCATCTCAGCATCCTTTAGTGCACAGCGCACTTTGCTCATCTTAGTTTGGTGATCGCGTTCTGCCGCTCCATTTTCCTCTGGGCAGTATGCGTTTGACTTTTGAAATTTGATCCCCTTGCTCTTGCAAAAGCTTTTAAAAGCTTGGTTCACAAACTCGGTTCCTCCGTCTGACCTTATGCGTCGGATTTTAAACTTGCCTTCTCTCTCTAACTCGAGAAGCAACGTCTTAACTTTGTCATTGACTTCCCCTTTGTTGCGCAACACATAGGTCCAGCGCCAGGATGTTTGGTCGTCAATGATGCTCAAGAAGTATCTAATGGTTCCCACAGTTCCATAGATTCCCATTGTTTTCATGGGTCCGTTTGTATCCATGTGGATGGTACTAATAGGTTGATCATCTCTGGAACCTTTCAGATTTCGGTAGGACATTCTTCTCATCTTCATTTCTGCACAAGTGGAGCAGAAGAAGTTTATTCGTCTTAGCTTAGAGCCCTCAATATACGGTATTCCTTTTACAAGCTGGTTACTCATTACCTCAATCAGTTTATCCTTATTTACGTGTCCTAGACGCACATGCCATGCTCTCATTAGGCTCTCAATTTTGGTTAGAATTGGCATAGTCAATGGCTTAATTGGCGTAGCCTTAACAACATTGCACATTCTCTGTCTTTCTTCTGTAGTACAGGCTTGCACATAGTATGCCCCATTGAAAGACTTTGCTACAAATATTAACTTGTGCTTCCAAAGTATGAACTTGTACAGTCCGCTGTTACTTGCCACAATCTGATAACCTGCCCTTTTTAGCCAAAACTCACTTAAGATATTTGACTTAGCATGTGGTACTAGTGCTATATCACTAAACTGTACTGACTTAACTCCTGTTGGACTCATCAAAGACAACTTAACAGTACCAACAAATGTATTTCTCAGTTTAGAGCCCTGGCCAAATGTAAAAACGTAGTCTGAGTTGGGCTGCTTGGTCACGAAGACCGACTCGCTTGCAGTCAATCCATATCCGCATCCTGTATCCAAAACCCATGAGTTGCCCGTTAGCTCAGTGATAGGCACTAATAAAAAAGGGATACAGTCGGCTTACCGTATCTTCGAAGGCTTTCGCCTTTTCTTCCAATTCCTCAGCGGCGGCTGTGACCTTGACGCTGTTGGCAGGCACGACAGTCTTACCGTCGAACTCGTCAATGTCGTCCTCACTGCCGCTCTCCACAGAGCTGGACACCACCGGAGAGTTAGGACTTCCCGTCGGCGTGACCGCAGTGTCGCTCGCCATCGGCTCATCCTCATCTTCATCCTTGGGCTGATCCTTTTCCGCCTTCGGCTTGTTGATGTTGAGGCGTTGAAGGACCGCAGCATCCACCGGGATCTCCTTCCTCTTGGGAGCCGGTTGCACGTTTTGCACACGTGCATGGTCCGTCTTCCTCACTTTGAGCGGGCGAGGCTCGCTGAAGATGTCTTTTCGACCGACGCCCTTGGCCATGTCCTCCTTTCTCATAGGACAGTCCTTCTCGAAGTGGGGCCCAATCCTGTTCTTGTCGTTGTGCACGCCTTTGCAGTAGAAGCAGGCATTCGCTTGCTCAACATCCGTCGGCAGCATCATCGTTTTGCGCTTGCCGGACTTCTTCATCGGTCCCTTCTTTGCACCCGTCATTCCTCTAGCAGCGTAGTTGACCGGAATCTCAATCGGGCACTGAGTCGTCTTGCCCATCGCCTGAATCTCGGCCTTACTCTTGTTGCCGAAGATTGACTTCAACTTGGTCTCAATTTTCTCCAGGGTGAATTCCTCCTGCGAGAATGTGACGCTAGGTCCCCAAAGATGACCCGGTAGCATCGCAAGCACCTTCCCAATCATCAGTTGACTTGGCAGCAAGTGCACACGCAGTGTTTCTTGCCCTTGGCGGTTCAGCCGGTTTCTCACGTTGCGCAACTTCTGAAATAGTTCGGCCACGGATTTGAAGCCCTCAGTCATGGTTTCCTCAAATTCCATGATCAACTCCACCATGCCCATGGCGTCGCTCTTCCCAAAGTCGACCTCAAGTTGCGCCCAAAACGCCGCAACCTTTTGTGCGGAGAGTGGCGTACTCAGTTGATTCATGTATGTATGAGGCAGGGTCTGGTTGAACATGTCCCTGATGTAGGAATCCACTTCGTCCAGTAGAGCCACCTCATACTCATGTTGATTGCGAGCATCATCCGTAGCATCTGGTCCCGGATCTGCGATATGGGCAGGACGCAGGAGCAAATCCTGGAACCCGTGACGGGGCGCAGCCCTTCCGGCTTGAATCTCAGAGACCTTGCGGCTGTTGGTCTTGCTCACGAGATGTGCGACCACGGCGTCTTTCCATCGCTGGAAGTCGTTTGGGTTCCCATTGAACTTAAGGCCCGCGAAGGGAATTGGGGTGTCCTGGACCATCTTCGAGCACTCAGTACTTGAAATGTTAAAACTCAGTTTTGGTTGGTCAAACTTAAGCTTTATTTATCTCTTAATGCCCTCTAATAGACTAGTGCTCAGTCGTTGGCAAAAGGAGAAGTGAGCTCTCTCCGAATGCCGTCAAACATCATCGCACGAGCGGTCGCCAACAGGGCGCCCCCTGATTGGCTAGTTATGTAGTCCTATGATTGGCTCTCCCTTAACCAATGGGAGAGCGCCTTAATACCAGCGGGTACACTTTACCCTCAAGCCTTTACAGAGCCTTTACGGTCTCTCAGGAACCTCATTCTAACAGTAAGTACTGCAGTAACCGAGAGGAGATCGGCGACGAGAAAGATGCACCGCCGTGGTCGAAACAAGACTTGGAAGCTATGGTATCTCTATTGTACGGAACGGCATCGACGAAGAGTGAATACCTCGATACAGCCCTAGTCGTGATGATGTGGTACCGTTATGGTCGTAGCTCAGACGCGGAAACAGTCGAGAAGAGTCAGCTATCCATCTACCAGGCAAGATGGATAGCTGACTCTTCTCGACTATTGAAATAAGACCCCGCCTAGCAAAATTTTTGTGCTTGGCGGGGTCTTATTTCTTCGATTAAAGCGGGTTAAAACAGCTTTACTACAGGGCATCTCGTTATTCAAGGACCCGACCAATTTCTTGACCTGTTCTCCTTAAGCTCTGGCTGTGGCGCTGGCTATGCAGAAGGTGCCAAGTCAGCGCATATTCCCTCAGTTTATCACGAAAAGCGCAACACGGATGATATTGATGATTTGCTAGAGCTTAGTCTGATAGAACTCCTGGAAGTTGACAATGAGCAGCCTAATCACAAACTCCGTCGGCAAAGCGGGCGGTGCCTGGTGCACAAGCCTACGTCAATAGATTGCTGGTTGGAGTTAAGAAGCTAGCGGATTTGCACAGTGTTCGGATGACACCTGAACTTACCTATCATCATTCCGACGAGATGGGGCCATGCACGCTAACGGCGTTGCCTTGGTCGAGAACTGGATCATCGAGCGCGGCTGGCAGCTGGACCGCGTCAACAAGGCGTTTGGTTACATGATCGGTACGACGAGAAGATGTCCCACGTCTTGAGCGTGTGGAAGCCGAAAGACGGTGCGCGCCTACCTCCGCTAACAGCCTTAGACGCACCGGTGCTTGTCCTCACTCGCAAGATGCAGCTGGTGCCATTCGCTAACACCATGGCGTTCGCCGATTCAGCTCTCAACCTTGACGATGATGTCGTCGACGTTGTTACCGCAACGCTCTTCATGCACTATCCCGATATGCTGCGCCTCTGCAACAGCAGTCCATTCATCACGAAGATACACGGAGTGATGACCGCGCTGGGTGTCGACGAGTCAGAGCTACTTGCATGGAGCGTCACCACAAACAAGGCCTTTGTGGCCCCTCTCGCTGCTGCATCTGGCACGGCTGACGATGAAGAGAAACCTGCGCCCGCGTTGGACCTCCTTAAACGCCAGTTGGAGCTGATAGATGTCTTGATCCTTCAAAACAAACGGCTCGATGAGAGAATGTTAGCAGTAGAAGCACAGCTGCGTACACTTACCAACTGTACGGCAACGTCTGATCTAGCCTGCAGCGATGAAACCAGTGCCGACATCAATCAATCCCAAGCCCTTGAAGCCAAGGCCTTTTGAAGCCAAGACGCCGCACTCGAAGAAGAAGGGGGTCGTTCCCTGTCTGCGATCTGGTTTGAATGGTTCACGGCAGAATCTCGCGTTTACGCCTCGCGATCTGTTAAAAAAAGACAGCATTGCACAAATACCGACACAGTACAGGGTACCTGATGCTCTCCTTACCTTCAGGCTTCGCGCTGGACACTTCATCACCAGCATTCAAGAGTGAGATGCTGGAGTTTGGCGACAAGGCAGAGCAAATGCGCTTGCCTTCTTGAAGACACATGGCTCCTCAGCAGTCGTGACTGGTACGGAGTTGAAGGCATTTGGCGATATTGTTGATCCTACGCCGCCTGCAGCGTTGCCAGCGTTCATCCGACTAAAGCCTGCGCGAGAATGACCTGTATTTGCAGCACCCAGCAAAGCCGACCGATAAACACGAAGTTAAAGCATTCTTATAGCATAACACACCTTACACATAACACCTCAGCATTGATGAATACAGGCAACAACAGCAGCAAAACTCTTCGTGTATTTACTTAGACTACACATAACACTGCACAAACATAATGTTAGAATAGATATCCACCCGAGCAACAGCGTTCTTACCTTGCATCTTGTTGGCATCATGAGCAGAACCGCCCTCCGCGTCACTGCAGCTGCTGGCCTTGGGGGCCGTCACCCCGCCCGAGGCCATGCACTCGTCCGTATCGCCGCCGACACCGCTGTCCGCTATGTGTGTGGCCGCTGTATGTCTGGCTCCAAAATGCGGAATGAATGAATATTACTCAGTTGGAGTTGTCACTAAAATTGAAATAACTGTCGTTAAAGTGGATTGACCGAGTACCGGTTGGACACCGTGGTTGGACAGTTGGAATTTGACGGTATGGACAACGAGCTGGTAGCCTGCACCAGTAACCCTTTGGAGCGCTTTGACCATGTTATCAACACGAGCGAGGGTTTCGGCCAGATTCTATTTCCGTACTTCTTGGGATTTAGGTTTGGATTATATGCTGCGGGAATCGCTCCAGTGACGGTTTGGCATGAGGTTTTCCTGCGGGTCCATGAATCAGTAAACCACGTTACATGTACAGAAAATACCCTTGGTAGTCATGGCGTCGGGAAGCCACTTTTCTTCCTAGGTGAGGGTATTCCTGTCATGAGGTGTGCCGTACGTGTGGTACAGTCGCTGTACTACCTATATGATACACTTAAAGCAGCCTTTCACGCTCATCATTCGTAGTGTCGGCGGTTGCAAGCATGTCGGACCAGACCAACCATTCATGCTGGCCAGCCACGACATTTGTTGCCGCCAGCAACCGATGCGACCCTCAAACACCATTAGCTCAATTTCAGAGTCACAGCTTGCCCCAAATGCCTTCTCACCTCAATTCTAAGTTCCAGCCCAAGTCATCTCGGGTATCGTTCACCAACGCTCAGCGCCTCCGGATTTGTGAGCACCAAGCTCGGAACCCTCACCTGTCGCAAAACCAACTTGATGAGTACCTTCTCGCTCTCTCAGCTTCCATCACAGGGGGTGATCTCCAAGCTTCTCAAGCGCAAAGAAGACCCGAAGAAGCTGCCGACCGCACAGCTCATCGTCAAAGCTCGGCATGAAGTGCGCTTTCCCGAGCTGATACCGCGCTAGCAAACTGGGTGTGTTGGCGTAAGAATAGAAATGTCACGGTTACGGGTGATGCTATCCGAGAGAAGGCCGCACGGTTCGCGCGGATCCCGAAGCTGGAAAACCGACTCACGTGGTCCAACGGGTGGCTTCACCGGTTTAATATTCGCCACAGGTTTGGCAGTGTTAAGCTCCACGGCGAGAGAGCCCGCCATTAAGGCGTTTATTAGCGACCTACAGCGAGAACTGAAAAACTACGTGCTGCGAGACATATTTAACATGGATGACCGGACTCTTTTTCTCCATGCCCCCCCCCCCCGATCGCACTTTGGCTCGGAAGTCGGAAGCGTCTCTTCGGCAAGGAAACCAAAACACGCATGGCTATCGCGTTGACATGCAACGCGGACGGTACGGAGCGCCTCCCTCCGCTATTCGTCGGGAAGTCGAAGAAGCCCCGAGGCTTTAAGAAGGACATGGCAGTGGGCATTGGAGCTGAACTACACGAACAGCGTGAAGATGTGGATGTCGCGCGCAATCTTCTCAAAGTGGCTCAAGGATGTCGGCACCAAGTTCCGACTGCAGCATCGGAAGGTTCTTACGATCCTGGATAACGCTACGGTGCACGGAAGCTACGACGCCGACTCCCTGACGAATGTTGAGGTGGTTTCCTCCCACCCAACACGACCACTGCTTGACGCGGGGATAATTGCCGCGTTCAAGCGTCGGTACAGGCGCAGGCAAATTCAACACGCCCTCGATCTCCTTGAAGCCGATCCAACGATGGACATATCGAAGGCGGCCAAGTTGTACAAGGTGGACATTTACCAGGTAATTATTTTGTGCATTGAGTGCTGAAACTCCATGCCTCCCTCTCTTTTTGCGAAGTGTTGGGGACACACCGTACTTTTGGACAACTACATGTGCGAGTGTGACGAGCCTGAAAAGGACGACTCGATCGCCGACGAGCTGAGCTCGATGCTATCGAGCTTACGAGCGTCAAACCCGATGTCCGTGGAGGAGTTGCTTAACCCTATTGTGGTTGATGGTCCTAAAACCTTGCAATATGCTTGGTTTTACAAATTTAATCCAATAAAATCACCCCTCTATTGATGTTAACCTATTATATCACTTGCGTAAAACCAAGCATATTGCAAGGTTTTACAACAATAATTGCAATAATTATTGATACACCCCTGCAAAATGATATATTATGCTGCGGGGTGCGGCGCAAAACCAAGCATTTATGCATGTTTTACCATGGGGACTTCAGTATACAAAACTCAAATATAATTTTGAACACTAAAGGGTTAACCCGCCACATGAGGACATTATCGACAAACCCACAGATGGAGAGTTTTGCGGTATTGACGAAGACAAAAACCCACCTTTTGAAGACGAAAGTGGCGCAATTGTGGTCGTTGATGATGAGCCTGAGACCACTAAAGAGGAGCTGGGCGTTGAAGCATCTAAGGTGGATCGCCAAAATCCTCACTAGAGCAGATGCAACAGGCGTCTCCGACAGCTCTGTGAGCGGGCTCAGAACAATGCAGGCGAAGAGCTTGGAAGAAAGCAAGGATACAAGCAGCAAATGCCTTTGCTTGACTACTTTGTTAGTCCTGTACAGAATGAAATGTTGCTATAGTTAAACACCCCATAATATTCATATCTTGTGTTTTTGCATTCCTTATTACGATTGAAGGGTGAGGGGGGATAATTTCTTGGCTTTGAATAGGAAGGTCATCCTGAATTCGTTGGGACCCGCAATTTTATTCCTGATGAGCGGTTATTCCTCACCTAGGGATTACTACCGAGGAATTGTCTGTACCGCAATAACACCACAAGAAATGTATGTAAAGCGTACTGCAATAGCAACTACAAAAAACACCGAACTGCCCGCGAACCAGTATTGATGATAATAGTGGCGGTTTGTCATGAGGTTTTGAGTTTACCTAACGTGATTTACCAATTCATGAACCGGCCGAAAATGTGGTGTCCCAGATTAAGTGATGTGCCGGAAAAACTGCGCCTTTTGGCGGCTTGTCCCATCAAACTGCTGCGATCTTTCCGACATGGTGTTGAAAACAAACCACCAAATTTTCGGCGCGCAACTTTACTTGCGCGAGTTAAAGTTGCTTGATATGTGCACCACACCGCTGGGGGGATCACCCCAGAAACGCCACACACAGTGAAGCAGGCCTGAGCCGAAGCGAAGCGCTCCTCTCTCTCTCCCTGCCTCGCGCTCGTCGGCCATGATCGACCCGTCCAAAGACAAGTTCGCCTACTTCAAGGACAACATCCAGACGGCGGAGGACAAGGTGCGGCCTAAATGGGACTCCGGAGTAAGATAAAACACCAGCTAATCCTTACTACTACTGCTGCTGCTGCTGCCGCTGTGGCTACTATACTACCAGGAGGACTTCGACGCCAGCCAGTACTACTACCACCGAGACGAGTTCGCGGGCTCCAAGCCGCTGGGCGCCAGCAACGGCCTGGGCGGCAGCGGCGGCCCGCACCTGAGTCTCTCGTCCTTCCACTCCATGGGCAGCGGCCTGGGGGCGGCCATGGACGCGGAGGCGCCGGAGCCCAACCTGGCGCAGATGCACGGCTCGTACGCGGGCTACAACAGCGCCATGATGCAGGGAGGAGGAGCCAGCTCGGTACGGCACGCGGCAGTTGGCCGGGAGGTGGCTGGGAGTTTTGAACTAATTTTTGTTGGTGCTGGCAGTTTTTGGGCGGCTCGGGCGTGGGACGCATGCAAGTGGGAGGCGCGGCGATGCCGCCGACGCACGAGCTGCACCGCATCAACTCCGGTGAGCTCGGAGCGAGCTAGAGTTGCTGCTGGAGTTAAGAGTGTCATGACTGACTGGGTGGGGGTTAACTGCTGCTTCAGGACGGAATTTCCAGCTGCCGACGGAGAACAAGGCGCCCGACATGTCAGAGTTCCCTGCTCTCGGATCCAGGTGAGTTCAACTGTGCTGGGAACTGAAGACAGGCAGGAGGGACTAAAAGCCTCGGTGGTTGAGCAGGATGGGCTCGCTGTCGCTGGAGTCGAGCTTCGAAGGCACGGCGGCCGACCGCATGCGCGGGCAGCCGTCTGAGTTCGTGATCCAGAAGGAGGACTTCCCAGCGCTCTCGACGTTTGGTGGGCCCGGGGTTAGCGAGAAGAGCCCCATGCGGCCACCGACCGAGCTCAAGAGACACTCGAGCTTCACCTCAAGCGCAGCGGACGGGATGGTGTCCTCACGGTTGGAGCAGCAGAAGGGCGGCACTTCCATAGGCAGTCGGGCTGGCAGCGCGGCGCAGGCAGCAGCGAGCAGTGGCAGCGTAAATCTAGGCACTGAGGCGTTCGATCATTTCCGAGCGCCCCGGCCAGACGAGCAGGCAGCCACGAGCGAAACGAGCAATGGTGAACTGGACCCGAGCAATCAGTACGGGCTCCTGGGGATGCTGCACACCATCATCCGGCCGGGCAACGACTCCAAGAAGAACTTGGCAATGGGCTGCGACCTGACGTCGCTTGGATTGAACCTCAACGCTGCAGAGTAAGTTCTTGGGCAGGTTCAGCGGAGGCTGTTGATGATACGAGGCTAACTAATTCTGTGGCTGGCTGTTATCTCCAGGCCGCTGTACCCTACGTTCGCATCTCCCTGGTCTGAAGAGCAGCTGACAAAAGAACCGCAGTTCTCGTTGCCAACGTGCTACTACAACCAGCCGCCGGTGCTCAAGACGACGCATCTGTCCAAGTTCCACCTCGAGACGCTGTTCTTCATCTACTACTCGATGCCCAAGGATGTTTTGCAGGCGTACGCGGCGCAGGAGCTCTACAGTCGCGAGTGGCGCTACCACGCTGAGTTGAAGACCTGGTTGAAGCGCGCCTCTCCTGCAGATGCTGCTCTTCTGACGGGTAATGCCAACTCTTCGGTAGGGGGGTCAAGCAGCGGGTCTCCTACTGGCAATGGTAGCATCGGTTCCATTGGTAGTGCGATGGGCTCGGGCACGGGGCCGTCATTAGCGAACAGCTCGCTTGCGCCGCAGTTCCTGTACTTTGACACTGCGACGTGGGAGCGACGCGTATTCACGGGCAACATCAACTCGATCAGTGCTGGCCTTTTGGGCGAAGAGGAGATCCGGGTGAAGTTTAACGCGTCTTCGTAATATACTACGCACCTCGACCACCAGTTCTGCGGCTCTGGGATGATGTGCTCGTTCACTTGGTGAAAGGCAATGGAGGCGTGCATCCAGGTGGCAAGGCTGTGCTGTTTATATTGTATTCTATAGTTCATGGGATCCTCATCACTCTCAGCTTATGATGTTTTGCTGTGAAGCGTGTTAGGGATGCCAGGAGAGAGCGGAGAGCAGAGCAGATTGCCCAGGTAGACCTTCGATCGTCTACATGCAGCGCACTGATGCTTCTCCTCTCTCTGTTCTATTGTGTCATTTTGATGCCTGCCTGTTCATGCAGATTCCTTCCTGCCTGGCCCCCAGTCGTGTGCATTTCCTGCTTCATCGCAGTATGCGGAGGCTGCACATACACCACTTATAAGAATTTTTAAATCACGGGCGCTCGTGTCTGTTGGTGGGCGCCACCTCTCGACGTGCGATCACCGAGAGGAGGCATCCACGATCTGCTTGCCGCCGAGAGCAAGCTCCAGCTGCGTGAGACGCTCTTGCTGCGCCTGCATACATGCCAGGAGCTCCTGCTTTTCGGCCTGCAGCTTCTCCACCTGTGCAGCGCTGTTTGCAGCCTGCTGCGCCAGCCGAGTCGTGGCTACGGCGTGCTTCTGCTCAAGTGCTGCGACTTTGATTGTCGTCTCGAGCGTGAGCTGCTTCTCCCGCTTGCCGTGGCTTCGCTTCGCACCTTCCAGTTGGGCTCGAAGTGTTCTGCACGGTCGAGCTAGGTAAGTGAACTGCATTGCAACCGACAGATAGCCGCAAGTAACTTACTGGGTCTCGCGTTGTGAGTCGATGACAATAGCGTGCATACGCGCTCGGAGCCTGGTGAGCTGCAGTTTGGCAGCGGCCTCTCCGCTCGTATCCACTTGCTTCCGCGAACAACCGCAAGGCGACGACTCAACTCCTTCGTCTTCATCCACGGGAGCCGACCATCGCCTCACCTGGTTGTTCTCCAGCCTCTCATTCTCCCGCGCCATCGACAACTTCGCGTTGGTAGCAGCGACGGCGTCCGACTCCAATCCGTCTTCGTCTTCGTGCGCGTTGCCTCGGATCAAGCCCTGGAGCTCGATGATTTTCTACACAAGCGCACACGGTGGTCAGTATCAAGAAGGCAAGCGGGTGACTATCATCACCATCAGAGCGCTGACTTACGGTCTGCATGAGGTGCTGTTCGGACGCGCGCCGCTTCTTCTCGTCCTCAAGGCTTTTGATCAGCAGCGCTACCTGTTGGCGCAGCATGGCGACCTCTTCCTCGCTCTCGTCTCCTTCGTCGTCTGACGGGATCGGGCGGTCCGGGAAGTGGCTGATCGGAATCGGACTGCTGCAGCGACTGCTGCAGTTGCTACTGCTCCCGTAACTACCGAATTCCGGGGTCGGAGAAAAGCACTGATACGTTTGGGCGGTGGGGTCTCGCTTCTTAAGGGGGCTTCGCTCGCCGTTGGCGAAGGCTCGGGGGCTGTGCACCATGGCCGCAACCGCAGCCGACGCGGCGGAGCAGCGACGACGGGGGCTGTGGATTGGCGTGCCTGGACCGCCTTCAGACGGCATCGCGAACAACCGCTGCAGCACAGAGCGAGGGACGCCACCGACGTGCGGCTCGTGCATTGGCCGGCCCTGCCACGCCGCCACCATCTCCGAGCGCTGAAGTCCGGTCGACTCCGGAGGCCACGTGCAGCCTGGAAGCTTCCCTGCTGATGGGACTTGGTCGGGTCTCGGTGCGACCGACTCAAGTTTGGTACTGGGCGTCACGGTTGGTGATCGTTGCGACCACTCCGCCGTTGCGCCTGGCGGCTCCATGCTCAACTCCCCTCTGCGATCGAAGGGCGGAGCTCGTCCGCGGCCGGGCGTGAGTGTTTGAATGCTGCGGAAAACCTGCGTGCTAAGCCGGTCGGCGGTGAACCTACGAGAGTAACGCCCTCAAGGCGTGCTCTTTGCACAAGATCGAGGATCAGGCTACTGAGTGCCCCCGAAAGAGAGACCGGAAGTTTCAAGGCCAGAAAAGGCTATTTTTCAAAAGACCCTGCGTGGCGGCGTCGGCGGAGAGCTCCGGCGCTTTTGGAACTTTTTTTCGCGAAACTACTAAGTTACACGTCCGCTAAGACTACGGCAGCGGCCAAAACAACTGGGAGAAATACCGGCGAACGCACAGCCAACGAGCAAGGCTGGCCAACGAGTGAAAAGTTCGAAGAGGTCGCCCGAGAAGAGCTGCGGCGGGCATTAGGCACCAGGCCCTCGAGCATGAGACGCCGTAACGGATCGCCTCGCGTGCCCCCGAATAATCTGTTTCCGCTCGACACGCACCCCAGCGACACCCCTCGGCGCTTCTTCATGGCGACGGAGTGCGGCGCCGTCAGCCAAATCGCACGCACTGATCCTCCATCAATGCGTGCACGAGCACGAGGGTATCATACCACATTATGCCGGGCCGTTATCGCTCATGTTGAAGTTGTAGCCGGTTCACAGTATCTTTTGGTGGATCCGTTTCATCATGATTTCCACGCACCGCGCTACTACAACACACATTGGACTATAGTAGTTAAATTGCAGCGTGTTGCCAACAGCCCAAGCACTCTGATCCTGGAGACCTATCCTCGTGCAGGCGTCGAGCGACTTGTGGCCAGCTCCAAGCAGCGGCAGGATGGCTGCACAATTCGCCACCGCAATGGGATGCAGCGCGCGTGTCGTTTTGGTGGCATTTTTGGCAGGCGAGTGCAACCGGTTTTCCTGCAAACTAAACGAGCGACTCAACGGCTCCGAGGTTTCCTGCGCTATATTGTTCTGGAGCGAACGCTTGCCCAAAATTTAGCTGGCTGCAGGGCGCTGCATGGGCTGCAACCTGATCGACCAGCTAAGCTAGAATCTCGGACTGACGGATTGATGACTAAAGTGGCACGCCGCGGGCGCGGGCGCCGTTCAAGATACGCAGGAAGGTTCCCACTGCCTTAACCAAGAGGCACTGCTTGTTCACGTTGCCCCTGAAAACGACCCGGAGAAACGGTGTGCTACGCTATCGAAAGGCCATGTCGCTGTCGGCGCGCTCGAGACACGATGCAAACGGTGGAGTAACTATGACCATTCTAGAAGCCGAGGACGTTGCTGGCGTGGAGCTCGTCCAGCAACGGGGACACGAGGGTGATTGTGAGCAGGTAGACGATGATGCCCAGGAACAGCGAGATCGGGAGTGCCGGCAAGGCGTCGAAGCGCGCGAGCAAGTACAGAGTCACGGCTAGGCCCTGGAAATTCGCATCAAAGCAGAGGCCCAGTTAGTCATACAGCGAACCAAACAGATAACGCGGGGTGCACTTACGACGAGGATGCTGAAGAAGCAGGCAGCGAAGACTGCAAAACCGTGGAGAGACGCGCGTGCAACCAGCACACTGTAGAAGATGAAGTCGCCCAGACCCAGCTTGATGGACTTGTCCTGTTGATCCTCTCCGCCGCTGCCACGACTTGGGTACTCAGCGGAACCTGCGAACACGACGTGGATGCCCGGGTACGGCTGTAGCCTCGACACGTAGTCGACGCCGTAGTAGCTGTAGAGGTTTCTCCAGAGACGCAGTTGGTTGCGCTGGAAGCTGCGAGCGAGTTCCTCGCTTCGGTTCTGGCACTGCGAGTTCTGGTCGTACAGGAATGCTTGAAGTTGGCGTCGGAATTGGGACGCATCGACCGCACCGCGCTCTTGCACTGTACTGTCAGCCTGTCCAGCGAGCAGCAGGCGCTTGATGAAGATTTCCTCTGGCACTGTGTCACGACTCGCAACTCTCCGCCTCGGCACGTCTACGGCCTCAGTCTGGACGCTGGTCTTCTCGTCCATGTGAGCGCGCTCCACGTCGGCTTCGAACAGGAGCCCTGGGATCGGCGTGCCCTTCTCCTGAACGAGGTCCACCAGGCAGCGGAGAGGCCCCACCGGCGTCAAGACGGCGAAGAGGTCCCAGAAGCCGAGCAGAAGCAGCAGCATCCAGATGCTCCACTCGGGCAACTGAGCGAGCTGCCAAGCGACGATGACGCTGGTGGCGACCAGGTAGCCACGCTCGAGCGCCCCTGGGATGCCCTTCTGGTAAAAAATGCTGAGCACGCCCACCATGGCGAAGTTGTACATGACGACGGTGAGCGAGACGCGGTCCACGACCCAGTGGAGGTTGTCGCACAGCACGATGATGACCAGCTTGGAGCCCATGAGCCCGAGCAGCGCGGCCGAGTAGATGACGCAGTACCCCGCGAAGAGGTGCATGCCGTTGCACTTGTAGAGCAGCACGATGCCGAACGTGAGGAAGGCGATGAAGACGATGACCAAAAGAGCATTTAGCAGCGCCTCCTCGGTCTTTGCGGCTGTGGACAATTCGGACGAGTCGATGTCTTGGTAGTACATGTAAGTCCTACGCAGACAACCACTGAGTTAGTCCACTGAATGAATGACTGGAAGCAGTATTACTCTCAAGATTCGGCGTACGTCATAGCTCGCTCCATAACGGGGTCCGTAATGTACGACGCAGCGAGACTGCAACCATGACAAAGACGATTGAGATGAGCTAGCCTTGTCATAGTGGATCTATAATGCCTTTGTGTGCTCGCTCACCTGGAGCAGATGATGGCGGTGGAGACTGGCCAAACGACTGCGAAGAAGCTGTTGAGTTGGTGGATGACCGTCCCGAGGTCCACCGCGTCGTCGCGAGGCTTCTGCTGCAATTGCCGCTCCTTGCCGCGCGCAACGTCGTCATACACGCGGGTCTTGTCCAGCAGAGGCTCCTCGTACATCGTCGAGCTGCAGCGCATCAACAGACCATCGTGTCAACTAGAGACCCCACTCACTACCTTCAATGCTCTCGGACTAAAGACACCCACTTGCTCTCGTCGCCCGAGACGCTCAGGTAGTGCACGCTCGCCAAGCTCCTCGCGTTGGATCGCGCATTCCCCATGAACGCTGCCTCCTCTCTTCCTCTACAGGACCTCTGGATCAGAGGATTCTAGCGAGGTGAAGGGACGTGCGGGATCTTGACCAGCGGCTGACAGATCAAAAGGGTCAAAGGGGCACCACCTCGTCCGGCGTAACGTCCTCCAGCATCTAGAGAGTGAACTGAACGAAGCAGGAAGTTAGCGAGTGTCAATGGGGCCCAAGAAGAAGGAGAAGAAGGGAAAGAAGGGCAAGAAGGAGGAGGAACCCCCGCCGGAGGAGCCCTCGGGTACGTCTTACCCATGACAAAGTTTGCTATACATTGGTCCTGAAGAATGGCGCTTCTTGGGTTGTAGAGTACGACACGATGGACGTGCCGATGCTCAAGGAGGTGATTCAGATGCTGCGGCAGCAGCTGGAGAAGGCCCAAGTGGACCGCAACTACGTGCAGCACGAACGCGTTCGTCTACAGCTTAACAACTTCAACCTGAGTAAGGGGCTCACTTAGCTCTGTTTGTTGCCCAGGACATGATCGAGTCGTTCTACGAGATCACCAAGCAGGAGATCCAGGACCACGAGAACCAGATCATGGCCAAGGACCGCGAGATGGAGGTCATGGAGGACAACCACCGCGTCGAGGTGCGCGTGTACGTGCAGAAGGTCAAGCATCTCGACTACGAGCACAAGAACAACCTCAAGCGCGTGCAGGCGGACGGCACGGGCCACCTGGACGAGGAGCGAGACCTGCACGAGCACCGCGAGACCGTGCTGCGCAGCACCAAGCAGTCACTCAAGCTCGAGCTCAAGGAGCGCGACTTGTCCAACGAGGACGAGATCGAGCAGATGAAGCAGGCGCACGAGAAGAACCTCATGAAGCTGCGCGAGCAGTTCGAGAAGAACAACGCGGCACTCGAGGCCCGCTGCCAGCAGCGGCTGCGCGAGCTGCAGGAGTCGCTCGAGCTGCGCCGCAAGGTCGACATCCACGAGATCGAGGAGCGCAAGAACCTGCACATCAACGACCTGATGAAGAACCACGAGAAGGCCTTCACGCAGATCAAGAACTACTACAACGACATCACCAAGGACAACCTGCGGCTCATCGACTCGCTCAAGAACGAGATCGCCGCCATGAAGAAGAAGGCGGCGGCCAACACTAAGCTCATGCACGACGTATCGCAAGAGAACAAGCGTCTGTCCGAGCCGCTGGCTGCTGCCATTCAGGAGGTTGAGCACCTCCGGCACGAGCTCAAAGACGAGCAGAAGGACAAACTCTCGCTGCGCAACGCCAAGGCGCGGCTGCTCTATCTGGCGCAGCAGGTGCACGACCTCAAGCAGCGGCAGGCGGAGCTCACGACCAAGTACCGCACCATGGAGTCGGACCGCAACGCGCTGTACGACACGTTCGAGCACACGGTGCAGACCATCCACAAGAAAGGCGAGTGCAAGAACCTCATCCTGGAGCAGCGTCTCGCCGCCATGGACGATCAGCACGCGCGCAAGGGAGCTCAACTGCAGGAGATTCTGCTCGCTGCCAACCTCGACCCAGTGCAGGCGCGTCGTGTGACCGAGACGCTCGGCACGTTGCTGGACTCGAAGAACACCAAGATCCGCAAGCTGCAGTACAACGTGACTAAGGAGAGCAAGGCCTACAACGACACACTGCGGACGTTCACAGAGAAGTTGACGCAGTTTGGCATCCCAGAGGAGGAAATCCGAGCGCTCGGTTTCAAACCGCTGACCTCCAACGTCAATGTGAACCCCGCGGGGCTCGTAGCGGTGGAATAAGCAGCCAGCGTCTTGATTCTCTTTACGAAATATTGTGCAGACCCTGTTCATCAAAATGCAGGCGACCTAGTACTTGTTGGTCTTCGTAACGATGTAGACGCGAACAGTCTGGTCCAAGCACGCCAACGTGCAGAGGCCCTCACGATCCGGGCTGTAAATCAACAAGGACGGCAACCAAATAGTTAGCAAGGAAGCATTTTAGCCAAGTAGCTATAGGGTTTTAAGGCGTACCTCCAGTCCATGCTGACGATGGGCTGAGTCGAAAGCACTCGCGAATTCAGCAGCTCAACTGTGCCGCATACGCCATACAGTCGTCCGTCAGCGTCCTTCGCCGTCCTCGAGAGTGGGTAATGACTAATAGACACACAACAACAAGTGGTTAGATCCACTGCCATGGAACCCCCTACGCAGTATACAATACAACCACTTACTATTTGTACAGATTGAAGCCACCGTTGCCTCCGCCAGTCATGAACAGATCGCGGTTCTGGGGCAAGAAGCGGCCCTGCCAGATCGTGGACTTGTGCGCCTTCTCCGTCATGCACGCGAAGCCCTGCTCCGGGTGGAACGTGCGCAGGTCGTAGACACGGAACTTGGACTCAAGCGTGGTCACCAGCAGCTTGTTCATCTCGATGTCTTTGCGGTCGAACTGCACGTTGACGACGCCGTTCTGGCAGTTGGTCTCCCACCGCAGCGAGTTGGTGCGCAGGTCGAACATCTTGATGTCGCCGTTGTCGTAGCCGCCCACGACGCAGCGCTCCACGTCGTTGTACGAGTTGCCGAAGCACACGGTCCAGCAGTCCCGAGCCGTGTCCGTCTCCTTGGGCTCCAGCGTCACCACCGGCTCGGACACGCGCACGTCCCAGACGCGGATGCAGCCGTCACGTCCGCCCGTGACGATCTCCGGGGCGCCGCTGCCGATGTTCTGGCCCCCGCAGCCGTCAATCGCGTTTACAATGGACTTGTGCGCCTGTGCCGAGTACACGGGCACGTCGGCCTTCTCCAGGTCCCTGTCCACGGCAGCAACAAAAGGCATACACATTATCAGCCCTTGCGAGTTCAATTCTGGAGCTTTTGAGCCCGTTCTTTCGAGCTTGAAGTGGTCATTTACCAGACGCTCATGACGCCGCCGTAGTCGCCCGTGGCGAGGTGTCTGTCCTCCAGAGCGGAGGCCCCGAAGGTGCCGCACTTGATCCCGTGCGGCTTCTCGAACACCGCGTGCGTCTTGAGCTGCCCCTGGTTGAGCCCGTAGACGGTCAGCGCGCCCGTGGCCTTGGGGTAGATGCCCATGGCCACGAAGCGCGCCGACCCGGGGATCCAGCGGCAGTCGTTGGGCGTGAAGCTGACGCTCTGGTTCACGTGCTCAATGAGCTGCGGCGCGTCGGTCGTGTCCATGGCGGCGATTGATACAAAGTGTATCCATGTCAAGCAGGCTTGGCTCGCGTCTCCTCGTCTCTCGGCAGCTGATTGGACGGATGGATCTAACCGGGTTACTCCTTTTCTGCCAATGAAAGCGTGGAAAGGTTAACCCTCTGCTGGCTGAGATGGGGACAGGCACGACTCACATGGTCGAGCCTGCAGCACTCGCTCCGAACATACATGTACAGCACCAACGTGGCAGCTTGGCTTGGCTGTTGTGCTGCTGCTGCTGCCATTGCTGTTGTTTGGCCGGTCGCAGAAGCGCGTGGGGGTATTTGGAGGGAATCCTACTGCTCAGATCTCATCTCTCTATTCACCGGCACTTGCCGTCGCAGTCAAGGAGGGCATTTATCCAAGGCTTCGCCTAGAAGTTCGAGCGTAGAGGGGCAGGCAAGACCACCGGCATGCTCTCCTTCCTTGGAGGAATTACCATGATCCAGTAGAAAAGTACTGGATCGCCCCCCAGGCCGACCGAAAAACAAACTACTGTCACAGTATTTGCTAAGTTCGTGATGCGTATTTATCAAGACGTATCTACCTACTTCTGCGAGACTGGATCCTTGCGCTGCGTCGTGTCGGTCGTCGATGGCGAGTCCGACGTCTCCCTCTTGTCGATTGGTAGACCCAGATGAAGTCGATCGATTCGCGTTCGAACCGTAGCTTCAGGCGCATCGGAACGTGGCTTCCCGGTTCCCATGTAAGCTCCCGGTACCCAACCCATCGGATGAGATAATATACTCTTACGTTGATCCACCTTTTCGCGTATATTCGCTCTACCTCATATAGCTGCCCATCCACGCCTCTCTGGGCCCTTCGATTGCTTGCGAAGAGGCCACCACCCCTACGTCGTTCTTCTCGGAGTCCACCCCCGACTGATGATTCTTCCTCTTCCTGCTCGTCGGTGTCTTCGTCGCTGACGTCATGAGCGGAAATACCGGGATTCAGTCGGAGACGCTAAAGCGAGCCGTCCAGGCGGCGCTGGATGTTCCGGGCGTGGCGCTGTCGTGGGTTAAGGCGTGGCATTGCGCACAAAGCAGAATGGGGCTTGCCGAAGCGCTGAAAATGTAGTTCGCAGTCTATTTCTATTCTAAGTGTTGCCTTAAAATAAATACAGTAGACTTCAGCCCGGAGGTCAGGTTGTGATTTGGCTCAATTTAACGTAGTTAAATTGCAAAATTCAGATTGCAGATCAACGTAGCATATTGCACCATTGCGGCTTAAATTATACAAAAAGGGTGTACCATGGAGTGGTACATTCGTAGAGTTCCTACTCCTTCTAGAGTTTAAGAGATTTTTACGAATATTTTACTCGCGTGTTCTTAGGGCACAACACTAGAGATCTATCGGTTTAGATTTTTAATATACCTTACCCAAATATGACTCAGCAACACTTGCATATTTGTCAAAAATACAGATCGATAAAGTATAAATTGGCTTTGCCCGACGAAGCTTATTCTTGTCCCTACAGCGCGTTTTTCACAATCTTTCGCTTGTGTTGTGGCCTCTTCCCCGGCTTCAACCCTCTATTACCAATCCGTTCATGAGTGGGTTCAAGTTGTGGAGGAAGAATTGTGTCGTCCCGCTGTAAGGTTGCTGTTGTCGGCCAAGGGAGAAATTTGAATGTGTACGTATCGCGGAAGTGCTCGATCGACATACGCTTGGCGTCATACAAATCTTCGATTCGTCGGCCATCCTTTGAAGCAGCGCAAACTGCGTGGACAAAAGGGAACATTTGGTCTTGCCAATTGCCGCACGTGCACTCCAGCGCTGGCAAATCCACTACCCGGTCTGGGTGCACATATCCTGGTATGGCAACAGGGCCCTTGAACAAGACGCTGTACGCACCCTCGAGAAGGGGTGTAAACTCGCACATATCAGCTGCAGCTTGGCGGTCTGTACGTCGCTCTAACAACTTGGGGACTAAATCCGAGAGTGCGCCAGATTTTGTCCACGTTACAATCAATTGTCGCCTTTTGGACATCAGTTGACTCAGCTTCAAGAAGTACAAGTGGAATCCGTCCAAGGGTTTGGCGGTCCGAAGCTCTTTACCCATCCAGTTGTTCGCTTGCTCTGACAAATTTGAGGTTATTTCGTCGAAAGTCGGGAGATTAAACTTTTCTTGGAAACCGTACTTCACCCAGTGAGCACGTTCGATTCCGTCCAGAAAATTCGCAGCGGCAGGGTTGTTCACGGCGAGTTCACTTCGATACAGCTTATAGTCATTTTCACAGTCGCTGCGTGCCATTCGGCATACCCACGCACGGTCTTCCTGGGACAATCTGGAACATTTCCTGTTAATGTTGTCCATGATATGCCGCAGGCAGTATCGATGGCCAGCGTTTGGGAAAATTGTCGCGACAGCTGGAAGCAGACCTTTTTGTCTATCCGACAATATCGTGAACTTTTCCCAGTCAACTGCCTCCTTGAATGCTCCCAGGAACCAAATCCAATTGGCCTTGTCCTCTTGTGAAACCAGCGTGAGTCCAACTGGAACGATGTGGTTGTTGTAGTCTTTCACGGTAGCTACCAGATAAATGCCCTGTTCGTGCATTTCTTCTTTAAGGTGGACCCCGTCAAAGCCGACCATCTTTTTGCAGTTCTGGGCAATGTGAATACCAGCGTTAGGGATGAAGCACGCTCGACCAAACGACGATCCGTCCGCGGCAGTTTCCACTCTCCAAACTGATCCGGGGTTCTTGTGCGCCATCAACTCGAAGTACGCCCGCATTTTTTGGTAACTTTCTACCAAGTCGCCGTGAATTTTGTCGTCAATTTTCGGCTTCATTCTGGACACCGATGTAGCGCTTACGTCCGCTCCTTTCGATTTCAGAAAATTCCTGATAGCGGCGCCTGACATAGAAGCCGTAGATCCATCGTGGGCGGGAAGCATCTCGGTCTCGACAATCGCTGTCAGCTTGCTTATCTGCTGCGTGGTATTCCGCATGGGCTTGGACGGCAACGGGATGAACCCTTCCACACAAGGACTCTTGGCACTACCAACGAACTTGAGGTGATTGTGCGCAAAATTTGCCTGGGTTATCTTCCACTTCCCCGATTTCCCGTGAACATTCACGAAAAACGGACACGTGAGTTGGGCAGCTGGTGTAGTCCGGTCGAAATATTGCGTTACATTGAGCGCCTTGTACGCAAATTTCGCATTACCGGAGTTGTCGGCCTTCACACTGGTTTGCTTCACAAAAATCTGGAAGCCGCACCTCACAGCCAAATCTTTGCACTTGCTGTGGACTGCTTTTTGTGAAGAATGACTGAATTGGCAATATTCTCTCGGAGCTGGTAGGCCAAGCCATACGTTGAGCTTGTCGAGTTCGTCGACTCGACTGCAACATCGTCCCTGAGTAGTCCCAACTCCTTGGCAACTTCGAGATCAGACACGTCGAGTGAAAAGCGAGCAGAGCCGTAGTTTGGGGGGTTTCTTGCTCTTGACTTGGACATTTGCACAATGCAGCAGAATATAGCTGTGAATCACCCTTTAGAGAATTATTTATTATTCAAGTCTACTTGGTTTTTATTTAGCACTAGCCTTCGAAATCTTACCTCCCACGTATCTATTTCAGGTGTCCCGCAAATGAACCGAGAGCTCGAAGTTAGCCCATAAATGGTTGATAGGTTTGCAAGTGACGTGCCGGGCGTACTTAGGATTTTTTTACTGTATGAAGAAAATGGCTGTCGGCCTGGGGGACGATCCAGTACTTTTCTACTGGATCATGGTAATTCCTCCCTTCCTTGCCTCCCGGGCTGTGATGTGGCTCTCGATTTGGTGCAAGCGCTGCGCTTAGCCGGGTCCGGCGCCCACCAGCTTCAAGGCTCCAGCGAGCGGATGTTCAAGCTCGTGTTAAACCAGACTGAGAGCGACAACAGCCATTTCGACGCTTTACTCGCCATACTAAAACAGCGGAAAAAGCGCCGCCATGCGATCGCCCAGCAAACTTGTTGCAACCAGCAGCAGGAAAGCGGCCAGAAGACTGAAGAGCAAGTCAGAGCAGCTTGACCATGGTCACCATGGTCAAGCAAGCATGATGGTGCAGGTCGCGTGGAGACTGCCGAGCAAGAGACGGGACGCTTGGATCCCACTCTCGGCGGTCTCAGCAGACGGGATTGGCCGAAAAGCTTCTTCCCATTTCACAGTCCACTTCGCAATTGAGCCTTTGGGAGGCAGCAGCGACCAACACTCCCGCTCGCCCGCGCGCCCATGGGCACACCGTCGTCGTCGGTGGAGGCGCGCCACCAGCACTACCAGACGGTGGCGTCGGCCACGTCCTCCGTGCTGTCCATCATCGGCGCCTTCTACATCATCGGCCGCTACTGGTACGCGCGCCGCCTCAAGGCCAAGTCGCTGTCGCTCTACGCGGCGTCGGCCCACCACCTGGACGTCACCAAGGAGCTCATCCACATCATCGCCTACCTGGTAGGGCGGCCGCATTCTACCCTCCCGCTCTACCTTTTAATCTACCTGCTAACACGCTACTCTATTCTACCTTATTAGGACCTCTTTGGCGCCACGGGCCGAGCGTTCGGCGTCCTCCCCACCGAGACCTTCGACCAGGACGCAGGAGAACCCGTGACGCCCATCTGCAAGATCCAGGCCTTCAGTATGCTCTACCATATCATACTACAGTGCTGTTATTTATTTATTTACTAATATGTTGTTATTTTGCAGTCATCACGTTCGGGGATGGCGCGCCGATCGCGTGGAACTTCATCATGGCGCTGAATTTGTACCGCTGGGTGTGCATGGGCGAGGACCAGCAGATGCTCATGAAGAAGATCAAGTGGTACATCGTCAGCACGATGCTCTTCACGCTGGGTATCCCGTCCATTTGCCTCATCTTCAACAAGTTCGGCGACGCCGGCCTCTGGTGCTGGGTCGTGGTCGAGGACGACAAGACGGAGGAGCTCTGGTGGATGTTCGGCGTGCTCTACTTCTGGGTCATCGCCGGCGGCATCGCCCTGACGGTGTTTCTCGTGCTAGTCAAGATCAACATGAAGAAGCGCCTCAAGACGTACGAGAACGACGACGCCAACGACGCGTACTACGCCGTGGTGCACAACCTCACGGTCTACATCTCGGGCTTCATCCTGTGCTGGCTGCCAGCCGTCGTGGATCGCGCGTACGCCACCTTCTCGGGCAACACGTCCTTCACGCTGGACCTGCTGCACGCCACGATCGTGCCGCTGCAGGGCTTCATCAACGCCGTCATCTACGGCAAGTTCCACATCTGGGTGGTGCGCCACGTGCGCGAGCCGTGGGTGAGTAACGCCGGCTCGTCCACTAAGAACAGCAAGCTCTCGGAGGACCTGCTGCGCCAGTCGGTGCGGATGCGCGAGCAGGAGCGGCATCACATGGGAACGGCGAGCATCTTCGTGACTACATTCGATATGAACTGGACGCCGTGTCCGGCCAACCTGCACGACTGGATCCCGCCAGGGAAGGATTTGTATGTGTTCTCGCTCCAGCACTGTGTCGAGGTGCAGACGATCGAGCAGGTGATCCGAGGATACCTCCTTCAAGTGAATTACCCGACAGCCTACCGTTCCATCACTTCAATTGCTGGCACGGCGGTGCGAGGCCACGTTCAAGATGTAAGTTTTGTGCACGGGCTTGATACGCTTCACTCTCTGTTACTTGACTGATGTGTTTTTGCATGATTTTATCAGGCGTCGGTGTGTCAAATTGTGTTTGTAAATAATGCCGATGATGCCAGTGGCAATGCCAAGTTTCAAGCAGCCGATGGGCGAATCTGGGCCCAGCGGAAGACGTTCAATGAGGTCGTGGGTATCCCCATCCGCTATTTCGATGCGTCCATCGCATTCGTCTCGTGCAACCTTGGTACTTCACTCAGCAACAGCTCCCAGCGACTCTACCGACCAGTGGACAACGACTTGTTAACGAAGCACGCAGTGGCGTCTAGCCTCATCCACTCGTTCGGAATGGATGCGGACCGCGCCGCTGTGGACTTTCCGAATCTGTACCACCACACGATTCTCTCGGGCAACCTGAACTACGACGTCGACATGTCGACTTCTACTCTAGCTGCATCCATTGATCAAGCGTACAAGGCTGAATGTCTAAAGAGAGCAACTGACTCCGCGATCGAAGCCCAGATCAAGGCGATCCGCAAAATTGAGGGAAAGAGCAACAAAAAGTCAGGAGACTTCCAGCACGACAGTATTATTCTGGAGGAAGGCAGCGAGAGTTGGGATGCTCAGCGTAGCAGTGCCGCAGCTTCGTCTTCAGCAAGTGGTGACAGTATTTATGAGGAAGTGTTTACTTCCTGCGAGGACGACCTCCCCTTCACAGTGCTCAAGTCACCAATTGATCGACCTCCGCGGCGACCAGGTCTGCTCACACCGTTTTTGGACGATCGAGACCCCGACAGCCTGGCGATTATTATTCATGAAGGGGTTAATTCAGTCCAAGAACCCGAAAAGGCTTACAACCCCAGCAACTGGGTTTCTTTCCTGAACGACCAGCTCCCAGCCCAGTCTCCAGACGGACGTCAAGCGTCGTCTGCTTCAGGCAACAAGCAGCGTGCGATAGATCGACTGGGATCCAGCGGTCATTTCGTGCCGTTTGCTCGTGGTCACCACAAGAAGGTCAGGGATCTTTTGGCTAAGTCCGACTTGGTCACCGAAAACACGGGTCGCAAGTGGCAAGAGGTGCTTCGGTATGACGAGTTGCGTGCATCGATTGAAGCCAAGGAGATCTTCACAGGGTTTGAGGAACCCCCCATCCGGTTCCTGCCGTCGTTCCCGCGCAAAATCGGTGTTTCTGCGACCTTCTCGATGGTGGGGGAGCGTTCGTGTCGCGATCTCTTTTGTGAACCAGACGAGGAAATGCTGGTCGGGGACTCACCGCCTGCGTACAAGGACCGCATCTTGGCTCACTCGTTGAGTGACACGAAGCAGCGCCTGAAAAATGTTGAGTACTGGTCGTGTGAAAAGATTGTGACATCTACACATAAACCAGTCTGCAGTATTTACGAGCTGGAGATCGACCGCTTCTTTTCGTACAACATGGACGAAGCAGCGATTGCTGATTTACGCCAGGGCAACCATGCTCTCCGCGACAAGAGGGACGTGCACGAGTTCAAGATCAAACTGGTGAAGCTGGATGCGAATATCTGGACCTACGAGGAGCGAGACGGTGGTGGCGGTGGTTCTATCCTGCAGAATGCCGGGTACCGTTGGCGAGGGCACGGGTCACGCAATGGGTCAAACCAGTCGAGCAGTCGGACAACAGGTAGACGGAGTCAAAGCAGTCGTGGGGCTATCAACTCGAACAGCACCACGAGCAGCGGCGAGTCGTCTCGCCACAGTGGTCGGGTATCGATGAGCCGAAGGAGGCCATCGATAGCTCAAGTGGTTGGCCGAGTGCTACGGAAGAGCCGACTTCGCTCTGGTAGCAGCACGAGTTCGAGGACGACTACACCCAACCAGTACTCGGACTTCACGGTTGGGCCGAGTGGAGCGCAGCCCTTGGCCATGACCAACGACCGCCTCTCCGCGCTCGCTGCAGGTCGATTGGAGCTGGTTCCTGTGGAGCCCGTGAGTATCTCAACCATCTTCCCGTTGCCGTCTGAGGATGTCTATGCTCTCCAGCGCAAGGTGTACGAAGTCGCTCACCTGGTGCAGAACGGCTTCCAGTCCAGCGCCCGCGTGGACGACGACGAGGAGTCTCAGCTGGCCTACACGAACTTCCGCACTGCGTCGTGGAGGGAGGCGATGGCGAACGGCGTGACGCACTCGGCCATCACCAAGGCAGTGAATGGCGGGGTGCACATCGCAATCAGCATCGAAGCGGAGAAGGGCCACGGCGGCCAGGGCGTGTTGTGCCTCAAGGAGTCGGACCTGATGATGCACGCAGCCCCCGTGCTCTGTGACGCGGAGCCGATCCCATTTGACGTGACCCTCACGTGGGGAGGCAAGCACGTGGGCTATCTCCACGGCGACATCTTGTGTTCCATGTAGATGGTGTTGGCTGGCAGACAGGATGCTATGTCCCTGTTCAAAAGTTATTTATTTTGCTGTTGTTTACATGAGTCTTACGTGTCAAATGTCTCCTGCTAGCTCCAGCAACGATATGGGTGCTTCTGTTTCAGACTCGGCTTGATCTTCGGTTGGCAGCGGGGCGACGGACACAGCTTTGACGGGGCTAAGTTCATAGTCTAAGGCTTCGCATACGTCGGCTTCATCTCCAGAGGAAGAGGAAGATGATGACGACGACGAAGAGGACGGTGAAGGCAATGCTGTCGGCAAATCCGACTCCGATCGATGACTCAGCGGCCCCGTGGACAGATACAGAGGGAGTGGAGCTGGAGATGGCAGTGGAGCCGACGGAGGGGGCAACGGCTGCGGTGCTTCCCAGTCCACTGCCTCCGGTGGACTTCGAGCTTCTTCGCCTTCGTGCACTGAAGCCACGCGACGCGCACTCGATCCAGCAGCTGGAAAGGGCTTCAACTGCTTGAGTCGTGCTTCCGCCTCGATGCGCTGGCGGCGTTCCACATGCAACTGCTTGCGCAGGGCAGCCAGTTGCTCCAGCATGGCGTTCTGCAGCAGGTTCTTGGCACTCTTGAGCTTCTCGATCTGTGTGCGCTGCACCTCCACCTGGCGCTCCAGCGCTTGCTGTTCTTCAAGCGAAGACGCGCTAATCGTCACAGCTTCGCTCATGGCCTTCGCTGCATCGTTCCGCTGCTTGGACAGAGCCGCCAAGTCTTGGAGAGCGCCCTCCATCGCCTTACGAAGAGCACGCTCCTCAGCTTGCTTCGTCTCGATCTGTCCAAGCAACTCGCGTCGAGTTGTCTCTAGTGCGTCGATCTCTGAGCGCAGCTGGCGTCCAGTTTCCTCGTGCTGTTCGACAGTAGACTGAAGCTCGCGACAAACGTCTTTAGCTGCTAAGAAATCATCCTCGCACTTCTTTCGAGCACCTTCAAGCCGTTCCAGCTCCAGTTTCATCTCTGCCTCCCGTGCTCGCTGCTTCGAGTTGACCTCCTGCTGCTCTCGCAGTGTGGCCATGACGCGATCGAATTCCTCTCGCTGCCGTTCAGAATCCTGTCGAGCAGACTGCAAACTGGCCTTGAGCTGCTGTATTTCCCCCTCCCAGAGCTTAAGCGCGTGCTGCGCCCTCTCAATTTCCTGGCGCCGTTGCGCCTGCTCGTCCTTGAGTCGAGCTTCCAGTTGGAACTTGGCCTCAGCTTGCTCGTGGATAAAGCGGAGTAGTGTAGCCTTTTCACACGCTGCGGTCTGCACGTCACCAGACAGCTGAGCCAGCTTTTCGTCGAGCGCAGCACGTTCCTTCTCCATTGTTGCTATCCAGGTCTCCCGAACTGTTCGCGCATCCTCCAGCTCTTCCTCGCGCTTCTGCGACTTCTTCAGTTGGCCCCCCAGCGCTGACATTTGCTTCCGCTCCTGTGCGAGTTGCAGAGCTAACGCCTCACTATGGTCTTGCAGCTTTGAGATCTCGAAGAGCAGGCCTGTATGCAAGCTGCCGTTCAGCTGGTACGACTCGAGCCTCGTGTCCAGAGCGCGTTGGACGACTGCAAGTTTATCGCGCGCTTCATCACGTTCCTGCTCAGTTTGCATCAACGCCTGATCCTTTTTCTTGAGGGTATCCTGCAGAGCTCGTAACCGGGAGCTGAGCTCGAGGTTGCACTGAGCTAGCGACTGGCCTTTGGTGCCCATGAAAAAGCGATGCTCGATCTTCTTGGCGTAGTCCCTGTTGCTGATGGCCTGCTGCTCGAGCTGCTTACGCTCAGCTTGGATGCGGTCAATCTGAAAACCGGAGCATTAACTATTATCATTCTCCAACCAGCAAACATGTATACATACGTACAAGGTGTCGTAGCTTGGAAATCTCGCGCTCCTGTTTTGTACTCTGTCCTATTACCTTCTTCATCTCCCGACGAAGCTGATCATTCTGGGGAATAAAATAAGTAAGGAACTTGAGTACCGATCATAGCTGTGATTCAATACAATGCGAACTGCAGCACTCACCTTCTCCGTGGCCTTTTCCAGGTTCAGTCGAGTTCGGAAGTATCGTGTCTCCAGGGCCTTCAGCTCGCGATTAAGCGAGGCAACATGGCTTGTCGGTGCAGGAAACACACGCTCAGAGTCCGGTAGATCACCAAGTTGATTCCCGTAGCGAGTAGGACATTCAAGCAAGTCCTCGCGTTCGCCCTCTTCGTCATTCTCTTCGTCGTCCCCAGTGCTGTCACTATCTCGTCTCGCCTTCTTACGTCTTGTTTTCTCGTCTTCTCCAAGCCGATTCAATCCACACTGGTGCTCTAGTACTGCTTCGTGGCTACTGCTGACGTTCCCCTCCGCGCCAGTAGCTTCGCCGCCTGCAGTCTGATGCCGGCGCAGCTGCTTGCTCACCATGCCGGCTCGTCAACTGTGGGCTCCACGCAACTATTTTCATCCAGCACCGAACATGTCAGTGCCCATGCGTCGGTTCCAGCTCGAAGCTTTCTGGGTGTTTCATCGCTAACACCATCGCACAACAATCGCACAATACACTGCCGTACATCGCAGAGCTCGATGGCAACAAGAAGTTAGTAATGCCGATGCAAAACGGAGGAGGCAAATGTTGCGGGCATCAGGAGCGTGTATGCAAAAATGCAAAGAAATCGACGACTACCAAGTGGCACACATGTTACAGGATCGGAATCGCATCGGCTCCTGTCCGTACCAACCACAGGGATGGCAAGGTCGCTGCTGACTCGGGCTGTTTATCTTCCCTCAATGCTGACGCCCATGGCCCGCTTGCTCTTCCTGCCGGGCCTAGCAATCTCCTGCATGCGCTTGGCCAGACGGGCCTTACGTGAATCAGGGTCTGCCTTCTTGGACTGCACCGAATTCATGTCCACCTTGGACTGAGGACGGAGCAAAAAGTCAATGTGCAGTTGCTCGGGCAGCTCAGCGCGCTCTGACGGATCGGCCTTCACGTCGTTATTGCCACCACTGCGACCGTTGAAAACGTTGGCACCACGATCGCCGGCGTGTGCTTTGTTCTTGGCCTTCTTATGCTTTCGCCTGTATCGACATCCAGCACGTCAGAATCAAAAAGACAACATACTATTGATGAATGAGAGCGAACTTACGCGCGCTCGCGACGGCGGTACATCTCGTTCTCGGCCTTTTCAGCCTCCAGCTCGGCCAGCTTGGAGAAGTCCAGCGTCTTGTTGAAAACTGCACGGCTCCAACGCTCCACCAGACTGCGGCAAAGCTCCTTGTTTTCTGGGGTCTGTCACAGGTACACGTCGTTAGCATCCAGCACACATTTACGAAGCACGCTCATTTATCGCTTACCTCTTGCGGGTGCTTCATCAAGAGCATCACTACCTTGCCAAGACCACTACGCTTCAAGTGCTCCTTGAACACTGCATAAAACGAAATCCACATCATTTTAAGTACCCACAAGACCAATTTCTGCGATGCATTTTGTAGACAACATACCTGGCATCTTGCTGACCATCTCGAGCATCTTGGTACGCAGGCCGACATTCGGCAGCGAGCCGTCCTCCAGCGGCTGAATCCACTTCTTCACGATCTGTTCGCACAACAACGACAACAACTCACAATCATTAGCCTTACACTCCAACCCCCACCAACCTCACCACCAAAACCCCATACCGTGAGCAGGTCGAAGTCCAGCAGCATGGGCTGGAACTGCAGCTTGCGCAGCACATGCAGAGCGCTGTCCACGAACTTGATCTTCTCCAGGGCCGGGCGGCGCTCGGCGATGCTGGCCAGGTCGTCCGCGTAGGCCTTATCCATGCGGTAGAGCACCTCCTGCGTGATCTGCTCCATCTCCTGCGGCGACAGACTGAGCTTGGTGCGGGAACGGCCCGTCTTGAGGGACTTGAGGGTCCGGTCGAAGAAGTCGTCCTTCTGCTGCTGCGTCTGCTCGGGCTCGTCCCCGAGCGGCCGCTCGTCGTCGAACTGCTGGCGGTCGTCGTCGTACTCGCCCAGCACGTCGGCCAGGTCGTCGTCCCCGTCGATGAAGTCGTCGTCCTCCTTGGTGGCCACAGCCTCCTCGCCCGAGTCGTACTCGTCTCCGTCGTCGCGGCGCTTGGGGCGGCCGGCATCGTCGTCCCGGGACTTTTTGACACGCTTGGGGGGCGGCGACGCCTCGCGCTTCACGGGCTTCTGCTCCTCGTCGTCGCTCTCCGAGTCCGAGCCGAAGAGCCTGCAGGTAGCAATAGTTGTTTAAAGGAATAATATCACGTTAGTACTACGGAGGTGTTATCGACACTTGTCGAAAATATGTGTCAAAAATACCCCGAGGCGTCCGCCGTAGTGGCGGTCGTGGCTGTCGAAAATGGCGCAGAGCAGGCAGAAACACGCGTTTTCGTCAGATTTCGACATGATGGAGAGAGGAGCGTCTGCTCTATCGCGTGGGAGGGGGAGGCACGTACTGCGGGGGATCTGCTCGTCGCCAGAGTCGTCCGAGTCCTCGTCGCCGAACATCTCGTTGATGCTGCGCTTCTTGCGCTCGTCCTCTGCACGGAGCGACCCACAGAGACGCACGGAGTGTGGCAGAGCATAGGAGAGTTCAGTGAGGAGGCGGCGCGGCTGTCAACAGAGTCTCGGAGGCTGCGGGGACGCACCATCGGAGCTGCCCATGGCTGACTGCGCTTGCTTCTGGCGGTGGCCTTCTGTCTTATGTCGTGTCGAGCGATTATGTGTGAATACACAAATGTACCCATATTAGGGTACACCCGGAGCTCTGGTTGACAACTTCAACGGCAACAGGATCATGCTAACGGACCGCAGAACGATATAAAGAGAGGAAAGGAACTCGACGATTTATACCACAGTCTTTGGAGCTTTGGATGGTACGCCGCACCAGGCATGGTGCTGCAATAAATCCCACGGCGTTGCCTGTCGTTCGTCAGTATATTTAATAGCCAGCTACGGTGATCCCCCATGGGCAGGAGGCACCGGCTCGATGGAGTTGATACGGTCTACAAAAGACGGCTCGGCAGGCAGAAATGGGCAGGCAGGTCGCACCAGGTAGCGAGAGAGTCAGGACAAAACCACGGCCAGATCGACCGATACCCTCCAGCTCTTGCGCCGTCGTCGAAAGAAGGAGAAGAAGGAAAAAGGAGGCAACCAATCGCCTCTTGTTGTCGTCGCAATTTACATGATCGAGCACGGCGCACAGCACGGCGCCTCCGCAGCTGGATTCTCTTCGTCCTGCGGTTTTCCAGCGGCAGTCGTCGTCACCGTCGACCGCGTGACCTGTTGGTTGGTATTCACCATCGGATACTTTGGTCCAGCTGCAGCAGCAGCGGCGGCAGTGTTGTTGGCACTCGGGGCCACTGGATTGGGCGCGTCGGCATGGGAGAACGACGCACGGGCGATCAGGTTGGCGTTCGGCACGACGGGATTCGGGGCGTCGGCGTGCGACAGCGAGAGCCGCGCGAGGGCGTTGGCGTTGGGGACCACGGGGTTCTGCGTCTCGACGTACGACAAAGACAGGGACGAGCGCCGACTGCCCGAGTCCGAGGACGTGCCTCGGGGTCGTCGGCCGCCGTACTCGCTGGACGCGTCGCTCTCGGCGTCCATGTGCTCGCTGCGCAGACTGAAGACCTCGGAGGGCGTGCCCTCGGGCCGGTGCTGCCGCGCCTGCAGGCCCTTGACCCAACGTGCGGCGTCGTCCTGACTGTCGGCCTTGAGCAGGTACGACTGCTCGCCGATGGCGATGGAGAACTCGAGCTTGTCTCCGTCCGCGGGGTTAAAGTCGATGGTCTGTGTGCGCCACAGGTCGATGCAGGCCAGCAGCTTCTCACTCTCCCGGTTCTACATAGTAGTACGGGCAGGTTAGACTGTTGTAGAGCGTTCTACCAATTGCGTGGGTATTCTACCTTGTAGTATGTGAGGTAGTGCGTGGTGGCTTCAAAGTATCTGCGCTGCCATCGATCGTGGCGCGACTTCTTGCGCAGATAACCTTCGGTAGAGCAGCAACCACAGCGTGAGACGTCGAGGACCTCTACCCGGCAACACGCAGAGCGAGAAGCGCCCTACCTTTCAGCTCCGGGAGATCCATAGCCGCCGCCTGTCACGAGGAAACCAACCTGCCTGCCAGAGCGCGGGTGCTGTGGATAGGATAAGGCTCTGATATTTTTCGACGGGGTTTCACTATGCCCGGTTTGTGTACGCGGTACACCAAATTGTATGATGAGCTTGCTTGAGCTCAGAGCTTCTTCCACGCAATGCTTGCTGGCCTGATGAATGAATGAATGAAGAGCGAATCTGTGTCTGGATTCTCGTGCGACAGCGAGGAGGAGAAACTTTTCTTTCTTGTTCTAGTTTGAGAAAGCTCGCTCGATTGGGATAAGCCGTCGGTGACATGGCTTCACTTTGGACATGTAGTAAACTTCATCTCAGTGGCACGTGACCTGTAAAAAGAAGCAAAGTTTTAGAGCGAGCTGCCGCCCTGCAGCAGGTTGGCGGCGGCCTTGGCGGACACGAGACAGTTGTCGAAGTTCGACCCTCGGAAGCTGTCGCCGGCCACGATGATGCGTGGGTTGGCGCTGAGCACCAGAGCCGATAGCGGCTCCTCTCCTTCGGCGATGCTCGGGTCGTGGTACGGCACCCTCACCTGCGAAATACTGGGCACAGGCCAACAACATCTCGTTAGTTGGCACCAGCGGCAGATCGGTAACAATGCTAAGGACAGCAGACTTACCGCCAGCGGTGCAGACGCGCGTCTTGCTGAACAGGCAGCGACGGTAGAATCTCTCGAAGCGATTTGGTAATGATGGCGAGGATCTCGTCGTTGTGGCGAGTATCGTCCATGAAGGTGGACCCGAAGCCCACCGACGTGTGCACGATCAGCGATGGGTGAGGCTGGTCCTTCGACTGCTTTTTGAGGTGGTCCCAACACACGAAGCGGACGACGTCGCTCTCTTCGCCAGAGACGTACCTGGCCGTCCACCCGAGCTCCTCCACCGCCGCAGCCGCCTCCTTGTCAAAAACGTAGGCTGCAGCGAACCGCTGGGAGTACGTGACGCCTTCCAAGGATCGCAAAATCTCCGGCGCGACGTTGAACGACGTGCTCTTCTTGAGAATGGACAGAATCTGGGGGTAAACACACATCGTCCCGTAAACTTTACTTTAGTCAACTCCGCGTTGGACGGCACGAAAGAAACTCCCAAAAAGTTAGCAAGGATCTCACATTCGGGATGGGGCAAGTCAGCACCAACTCGTTCACGATCTCCTCCTTGCCCTCGCTCGTGGTCACCCGGATGCGCTTGTCATCCAGCACCTCAAAGCTCTCCAAGTGGGTCGAGAGCTTCGTCTCCGTCCCTACAAGCACAACACCAGCAAGAACAACAAGTTAGCACCTTACCCTTCCTCAACCCCACCTCCCTCTACCAGCGCAGGCCCACCCTGCAGCAATTCCTCCACCATGGCGCGGAAGCCGTTGCTGTCGGGACACACCAGGTGCGTCTTGACAGGTCCCCGGTATGGGTCCATGGCGATCTCGTTCTCCGCGAACTCAATCAAGTGCCCGCTCTTCGTCAGGTGCTGGCGGAAGTCGTCGTTGCGATCCGTCCGCGGCGTCCAGTACTGCGCCCCCATGTCCACGTGCACGTCGCGCTGCTTGGGGAACGACCTACAGTATCATCCAGACTTGGTGTAAATCATTGGATCTACCTCCCCCCCCCCTCCTCAACGCAGCGCGCGCGTCTACCTGGCCATGACGCGCCCACCGAGGATGCTGTTGCGGTCCCAGAGCACCACCTGCGCCGCCTGCCTGGCGTCGCGCAGCAGGCGGGCCAGCGCCGCGCCCGTCAAGCCGCCACCGACGATGAGTGTCCGCATGATGGTTGTCAAATGATTGCAGCACTTGAAGATGATGGATACGGCATCGGTAATTGGCCAAAATAGAGCACAGGAGGGAGATGCCGTTTCAGCCAATAACAGAGCTTTATACTCTATTTATAGCCAACAGATGGGTAACGAGGGCTAGGGATCCTCGTCCTGATACAAAACTGGACAGACACGCAGAACTTCACTCGGCTTGACCGACGATGGCGGCGCCCCCGAGCGGCCCGAACGCCGAGCCGCCGGCGCTCTCGGCGGCGCTGGCGGCCGACATCAACGCGTCCTTCCCGCGGCCGGCCTCCGTCTTCCAGCTGGCGGGTGCGGCTCCGTCCGGCGGTCGCTTTGTGCTGCCGGACGTGGCGCTGCGCAAGGTGGTCAAGCGCCCCATCTTCGAGGTGACTACGGCAGCCAGGCAATTGCCAGAGCGCTGGCAGCGTGTTCTGTGAGTTGCATTTATATATAACAATTGTTTACGTGCACTTGCATTGGCAATGGCAGAACTTTGACGAGACGGCGTACAACGTGAAGCCGCCGACGCAGATGCTGCGCTTCATCGACGCGCTGCGCTACCACAAGCCCACGCCCGAGGAGAGCGAGACGCTGAACCTCAGCAGCGCCACCGAGAGGATCTACCTGCACGTGCTCAACGACGTAAGAGGTCGAGATGCCAATGGGTCAGAGAGAGTGAAAGAGTATTTAATTGTTGTTGCTGTTTGGTGACAGATTTTGATGATGTGTGGGGCGCGCAAGGGCGCGCGCTTCAGCTCGCTGGACGTGAACCGGCTGAGGATAATTGCGGAGGGACTGGAAGCGAGGTACCAGGCCGTGGACGAAACCTTTCGCGCGCTGCCCTCGGAGGTGATGCGGTATCGCTTCCCGGGCGTGAAGAAGCTGGAGGACGATCCGTCGCACTTTGAGTTCCTCTCCAACCGACGTCGGAACAGCTTGGTGGGGATGGAGTCGCTGGACTCGGAGACGCAGGTGAGGCGGCAGGCCTTCCACTTCCAGTGGCTGGCGCGGCAGTACGTGGTGACGTTCGCTCAGTTGAAGTCGGCGATGCTCGAGATCTGCGAACGCGTCCAGAAGGACATGGCCGAAGCGGGGGCCATGTCAGCCCCGACACTCGCTGATATCAACGATGCAGGTTCGTCGCTCGCTGCACGTGTTTCGTTGTATTGTTTTTGGTAAATGTTGGGCCGTACACTCACTGGGATGTGGACTCATTCGTGTCTCGCTTGCCACCGATGGGTCATTTTGCTGCGCAGTAGAAGCAGAGTTTGAGGCGAAGACGCACCGGCCGTTCCCGACGTTCCTCTTCGTGCTCATCCAGAAGTACCATCGCGAGCGGCGCAACAAGAGCACAGCGTGGAGCACCGACTCCGATGAGCCGCCCGTAGACTCCATCGGGCAGTTTGCCCTCTATTTATCCAGCGTGTTGCTCCAGCCCGCCCCCATGACGGTTGCAGAGCTGCACAGTGTCCAAGTGCTGCTGCAAGTTGTGTACGTGCGGCTCTGAGTATTTGGGAATTGACCTCTGAACCAACGCACTCAACCTGAATTATGTTGTTGTTTCGCTCGACAGGAAAGCGCAGTTCCGGGTAGACTACCACTCGATGGTGCTCGTCGTGACAAGGGTAGTACAAGCAGATGGCCAAGTGATCGTGAATACGTCGTCAACATCATGTTTAGATAGCGGAGCAAATGGCGTCGAGCGGCCATCGAGACATTCTCGACGCGACGGCGACGTGCGCGTGCTGACCCACGACGCGCTGGGGTCTCTGCTTTTTGCCTTTTTGACGACCGTCCGCGAGCTGCGACTGGTACCGCGCGAGAAAGAGCTTCTAAGCCGCGGGAAGAAGACAACTACCAAGAGGAAGAAGGAGGAGATGCCGGCAAGGCCCGTGAATCCGTCGATAAGATAGAGGAGACACCCGTGGTCTCGTGGATAGGAATGCAGCCAGACAGCCCCCCGTGCCAATAGTTGAGTCCAATCCTCCCTCTGCTCCGTCCGTAGGGAGCATGTAAAAATCGAGGCCCGGGAAGGAAGAGTGATGAGTGTAATGGCTGCGGTTCTCCTCAGCATCACCATGCAATGTACATGCATCCTAGCATTGGAGCCCATGCTTCCTCTGTTGGATCCCGTACGTGTACGCGTACAGTACCTGCGCACGCGCTTTCCGTGCACTGCGTGCTGTTGCAGTTCGCGACGCCACAAATTCATTCGTGTAGCCAAGTTGTGGGCCTTTCTATTGACTGGCACCTCGACACCCCGGCACCACGACGGCGGCGGCGGCGTCGTTGCCTGTTGCGTCCGGATTTCGTAGACGACCCAGCGGATACCGTGGCCGCCATGGTGTCGCCGCCGCAGGTGTAGGACAAATTTTTCACCGACCGTCGTGCTCTAGCTAGCCTGCGGGCTAGTAGTATAATACAAAGACCTTTGTCGGTGACAGGCAGGCAGTTGACGTCACTCCGATGCCCGCGTAGCACCGTTACAAGTACTCTGCTGCTGCGTTCGTTGCCCCCATCAGGACATGCCGGCTAGAAATACAGTGCATGGTCAACTCTGCAACGAGCACCCACGTATCCGTGTAATGGAGAGCAAGCAGGTGCTGCGTTTGACACGCCGTAGAAAAAACTCTAGCGACCATGTGGGTCAGCGCGGGCCTCGGTGAAGCCTGCGAGGCGCCACATTCCCAGCTTTTCCCCAGCCAAATCGACGCGCACAGTGCAGTTGCAGGAGACAGTTCGTTTTCAGCAGATACTGTACTGACTATATTGCCGTCTGGTTGACATTTGCTTTCACTATGCGACTTGCACAACCCCACACGCCGATCAGGTCGGAGGGCAGCAGGAAGCAGGAAAACGCACCTCTCAGGCTCGGGCCGAGGTGTGTCATATTTGCGACCGCGCTTTTAGAGGCCCATACAACATCGTAACGGCCCGGCACCGGCAGGCAGGCAGGCAGCGGCACCGACATCAGGGCCGAGGGCAGCAACAGAGCGTTGCGAGTGCCGAGTTCGCGGAAGTCGCAGAGGCGCCCCACCTTCCCATCCGGCACGCCGACACCGCTGCCGACACGGCCGGCAGTGTCCGATTCGCGGCAGCCATGGACGTGGGCGCCGAGGTGGAAGTGCAGCTGGCCTCGCAGGCGTGGCGACGCGGCGTCGTCGTGGACCGCTACGCGAGCCCCACGGGCGCCGTGATCGTCGTCAAGTTCGAGGACGGCAGCGTGGCCGAGCGCATGGTGCCGGCCGACGCCGGCCAGAGCGCGCCCGACGTGCGCGTGCTCGTGGCCGGCCAGGGCGCGGCGCTCAAACTGGACGTGGACGACCTGACGCAGCTCATCGAGCTGGACGAGACCACGATCCTGTCGGCGCTCGAGACGCGCTTCTCGCGCAGCAAGATCTACACCAACACGGGCGCCATCCTGCTGGCCGTCAACCCGTTCCAGAAGATCGCCGACGTGTACAGCACCGACACGCTGGCCAAGTACCTGCTCTCCTTCGAGGCGCGCAGCAGCTCGCTGCGCAACAAGGGCAGCGACCCCATGCCGCCGCACATCTACCAGGTGGCGGGCGAGGCCTACAAGGCCATGATGCTCGGGCTGAACGGCGTCATGAGCGACCAGAGCATCCTCGTGAGCGGCGAGAGCGGCAGCGGCAAGACCGAGAGCACCAAGTTCCTCATGGAGTACCTGGCCCAGGCGGGCGCCAACAACCTCGCGGCCTCCGTGGCCGGCAAGAGTCCCGGCGGCATCGCGGCCAAGGTGCTGCAGACCAACATCCTGCTCGAGTCGTTCGGCAACGCGCGCACGCTGCGCAACGACAACTCGAGCCGCTTCGGCAAGTTCATCAAGCTCCACTTCACGAGCGGCGGCCGACTCACGGGCGCCAGCATCCAGACCTACTTGCTCGAGAAGGTGCGCCTCGTGTCGCAGTCCAAGGGCGAGCGCAACTACCACATCTTCTACGAGATGGCCATCGGCGCGGACGCGGCGGCGCGCAAGCGCTGGTTCCTGGACCCGCCCAAGGGCCACATGATGCCGCCCGGAGACCACGGAGAGGTGACGGAGAGCATGCGCCAGTTCCTGCACTACCGGTACTTGAACCAGAGCGAGTGCTACCAGCGGCGCGACGGCGTAGCCGACAACGACATGTTCCGGCGCGTCATGGACGCCATGGACATTGTCGGCTTCACTCCGACCGAGCGCGCAGGCATTTTCGACATTCTCGCGGCGCTCATGCACATTGGTAATTTATCTTTCGAGCACGACGAAAACAGCGACAGGTTAGGGCAGTCCATGGGACCTGGAGCCGGCAAGTCCGACTTGGCACCCAGCTGCATTTGGTCACGTGACGCGGCGGCTACGTTAATGGCGGTGGATGCTACCAAGCTCGAGCGCGCGCTGAGTGTGCGACGAATCCGCGCTGGTACCGACTTCGTGAGTATGAAGCTTTCGGCTGCTCAAGCTAATAACGCGCGTGACGCGCTCGCGAAGGCGCTGTATGGAAAACTGTTCGACTGGATGGTGAACAAGATCAACCACTTCCTCAAGATGGACGACAGCCAGAAGGCCAAGGGCGGCCTGCATTTTATCGGCATCTTGGATATCTTCGGCTTTGAAGTGTTCCCGAAGAACTCGTTCGAGCAACTATGCATCAACTTTGCGAACGAAACGCTGCAGCAGCAGTTCAACGACTACGTGTTTAAGGCGGAGCAGCGCGAGTACGAGTCGCAGGGCGTGGACTGGAAGTACATCGAGTTCTGCGATAACCAGGACTGTGTGAACCTTATCTCGCAGCGACCGACCGGCATTCTCTCGCTTATCGATGAGGAATGCGTCATGCCCAAGGGAAGTGATACGACGCTGGCGTCGAAGCTTTATCGTGCGTGTGGGAGCCATCCGCGCTTTGAGGCGTCTCGGATCCAGCGGGCGCGTGGTCTTTTCACGATTGTACATTACGCAGGCCACGTCGAGTACTCTTCCGATGGATTCCTGGAAAAGAACAAGGATGTTCTCCACCAGGAAGCTGTGGATATGCTGGTGTATTCTACGCGGGAGGGCAGCTTTACGCGTACGTTGTGTGAGGGCCTTGGTGGCTCTCGTGAACGTGCCAAGTCTTCCCCACGGCAGCGCGCACAAACCAGCAAGCACCGTGGCGCAAGTGTCGGTCTTCAGTTCAAGGAGCAGCTAACTACTTTGCTCGAGACGCTGCAGCAGACTAACCCTCACTACGTACGGTGTCTTAAGCCGAACGAGTTGTGCAAGGCTGGGATTTACGAGCGTGAGCGTGTGATGAATCAATTGCGTTGCAACGGTGTGATGGAGGCTGTTCGCGTGGCAAGAGCGGGATACCCGATCCGACTACCGCACGACGAGTTCGTTGCTCGCTACTTCAGTCTCAGCAAGTCGAAGAACCCGCTGCTGGCGAAGAAGAAGGGAACTTCATTCGGACTGCCCGACACGGACTCGGACGAAGGTCTGGCAGTCGTTAGCAGTGAGGCCAAGGAGCTGCTGAAGGGCCTGCTGGACGTGATCCCAAAGGAGAACGACGCGAACCCGCAGGGAGCGTGCGAGCGACCTGACCAAGGCCAGTTTGCCACGAAATGTATATCCGTGGGCATCCAGATGGGCTCGTCGAAGATGTTTATGAAGAAACCGACGTACGAGTTCCTCGAGGATCTGCGCTCACAGCGCTTGCATCGTCACATGCTCAAGATCTTCCATGCCGTGTTGTGTGCCACCGCGCGTGCTCGATATCTGCGGTATCGCCACGCCGTTCAGACCCTCCAGGTTCGATTCCGGTACAAGAAGCAGCAGAAGTTGCGCCGTCGCCGTCAAATTATGATGATCCGAAGGAAAAATGCGGGCAAGGTGCAGGGCTTCGTCCGGACGGTGGTGCAGCGGAAGAAGTATGTGCGTTTTATCAGTGTTGTGCGGATGCTGCAGTGCCGCTACAGATATCGCCGAAGGATGCGTATCAAGCGCATGGAGGCAGATCGCGCCCGCAAGCTTGCAGGCTTGAAGCGAGAGAAGCAGATGCAGGCCGTGACTCAGTACACGGAGAGCTCCACGGCTTCGTCCGACTCATCGTCTCCGCGCTCGTTGACTTCCAACTCCAACGACATTGAAGGCTCCGGGATATCGGACGTGTCGTCGGACTACTCCTCGGACGATGTGTTTGCCTACAAGGACAACTTCCCCAAGCACAACCTGAACACAGTGGATGAGCAGAGCAGCCAGCTGATGCCTCGCGCCTCGCACCGCGTCTCCCTGCGCAAGTCCCAGTCCATCGACTCCATTACGCCGCTCGGCGGCTTCCGCGCCTCGCATGCGCACAACGCTGGACTTCCCGGACACAACGGCCACATGGTGCACACCCCTGGATCAAGGTCACGCATGCCGTCGCGCAAGTCGTCGTTCCGGAACACGCGCTCGTCCCGCGCTGTGGCGCTCCCGAGGCTTGATGTGATCCAGCACACGTCGTGGGTCAACGACGAAGACCGCTTCAGCTGCCATATCTGCAACAAGCGCTTCAACATGTTCAAGCGCAAGCACCACTGCCGCGCGTGCGGCGAGGTCATCTGCAACAGCTGCTCCCTGTATCACCGGATCCAGTCCCGGTCCATGCGTGTATGTGTGTCGTGTGTGGCGTTCCATTCGCTGGACAGCCCGACATCGGCCGGCTCATCGGGCTTCCTGCGTCCCAGCACCCAGTCGTCGAACTCGAGCCGCAAGACGTCGAATGGCTCGGCCCCGGACCGCAACCGCAGCAGCACGATCAGCAGCGGCGTGTGGCTGAACCCGTGGCCCGAACCGCCCTACCCGGTGGACGAGGAGGAGCGTCTCGCCGTCCTGCGCGAACTCAACATCCGCGAGCTCGGGCTGTCGGGCAAGTTCAACATGTACTGCGAGGTGGCGGCCAAGACGATGAAGTGCCCGATCGCGTACGTGAGCATCATCGAGGACGAGGAGCAGCTGCTGGTGGCCAACATCGGCATGGCGCACACGACGCTGCCACGCGAGCTGTCGTTCTGCGCGCACACGATCTGCCAGCCGAGCGTGCTCGTGGTGCTGGACACCAAGAACGACGAGCGGTTCCGCGAGAACCCCATGGTCAAGGGCGACAAGGGCGCCGTCAAGATCCGCTACTACGCCGGCGCGACCATCTTCTCGCGCGACGGCCACGCGCTCGGCACGGTGGCCGTGCTGGACACCAAGCCGCGGCGCGAGGCGGACCAGGAGCACATTGGCATGTTGCAGCACCTGAGCTTCCTGGCGAGCGAGAAAATGACGCAGAGCACCATCCACGAAGATAGCGATAGCGAATTTCTATGAACCATCAAGTAAGTGAGATTGTCCATGTGAACTCCTAGCAAATACAAACAAGTACAGTGCAACTTCAACCGCGTTATCCGCCCGTGTGAGCAGTGGCACATGTAAGCCAGCCTACAGCTTGCACTATACGACGAGGTTGCCTAATTTGCACTAACGTTACACTACATGTACGGTACAGGCCCGGGTGTGTATGCACTGGCGTGCGTTGGCTAGGAACGCGGGGCGAATCGTCCTCAACTGAGTCGCGAAAAGCGACTTAGTATCCTCCGAAACTTCAGCCTCGCTTGCTGGCCACACGCTGGCTGCCACAACTGAGCGCTGCCCAGCCTGGGCTCATGATAACCGATTCCTCCAGCCATAATGCATTGCGACGCAAGCTCTCCGTGAGCTTTGGCTTCGGACAGACGATTGCTTCGAGCTTGCATAGAGAGCAGGTACAGTAGTTTGCAGACGCCCTGGGGCCTTTCTTGCCACGTCCCGGAATCGCGCGAATTCCGCGTTTTAGTGGATGACTGATTGATCTTGTGCACTTGGCCAAACAATGTTGCTGATCGAATCGTGGCGGGTGGCGAGTATCCATCCAAGCGCGATGGCTATGCCTCTTCACCACGATGGCGATGGCCAAATTGCCGCCGGCATAGCGAGCGACATCTGCACGATGGCACGCTCTAAACGATCCCAAAACCGCGGTAATTCGAGGCTGTCCAGATTCCAGTGGAAAAACTACCACCCCTATCCAGCAACGTCTCAAGTGCCTCTCTATGGTGCAGTTGCTCATTCTCAACTCTGAATTCGTACCTACGTTGTGCCGGTACAGTATATCTCGAGAGTGACTCACTCTCAAACCATTCTGCCATTTGCGACGGAGCGCCCAAGCTCTAAATTCGTGCCACAGTGTTGCGTGGGGCATTCTTCCGCTGCCTGCACTCTCTGTGGGGCCGGCCTACCTCGCCCCACTCCTCGTCGTCCTCCTCCATGGTGGCCGGCCAACTGCGCGTGGCCGTCATCGGCTCCCAGACGTGCCACCCGGGCACGCCACTGGCCTACACGGTCTACCGGACGTCCGTGAACTACCGGGGGCTGTGCTACCACCGGCTGATCCGATTTAGCCACTTTGTGCACTTCGGCAAGAGGCTCAAGCTGGCGAACGGTGCCACGCCCATCACCGTCAAGTTGCCGCCCAAAATCTGGTGGAGTCGCAAGGCTTCCCTTAAAGCGGAGACCGTGGAGGCGCGCCAAGTCATCGTACGTGCGGTTAACACTAGCCTAAACTTTAGAGACGGTTAGGTGGTGCTAACCATTTTCTGTTGCTGTTGTTGTTTTGTTGTTTGTGTACAGTTGAACGAGTTCATGCAACAAGCTGCCAGCCGCCCGTTGACCCCTCGCAGCGAGGAGAGACTCATGAAGCTACTGAAGGTTGGAGACTACGCCCCGCAAGAGGAAGAAGACCGGGTCATCAACAGCAGACTCAGCTCCAAGCAGCAGAGTGCCACGCTCACGGAGCCAATGGACGGCAACCCTTCCATTCAAACCTCCCCTGCCGAAGAGGATGAAAAGGAAGAAAGAGAAAAAGTTGCAAGTATGCAACTGCACCACGAATCTCTAACCGACAACGAGGAAGAGGAAAAGGAACTGCAACAGCAGAATGGTGCGAAGACTTCCTTCCAGCGCGCGGATTCGGAGGCGTCCACGAACCCGGCGTCGGACGACGCGGAGCCCCGAGAGAACCGCGCGCTATCTGCACCGTTAGCACCTCCGCTGCAAGTGGCCACTCGCCCCATGAGCGCGTCTCTGAGCGCACAGAACATGAAGCGAGTGGAGTTCGAGACCAGCGACTCGGAGCTCTCTTCGACTCTCAAGGAAGGAGGAGGCAGAGACTCGTTCGGCAGCTACGCGTCGACCCCCGAGCGGCACTACTTCGGCCAGATCAAGGAGCGCATCGCCACCATCGAGGACATCATGAACAGCAGCCGCAAGCTCGAGGACCGCATCCGCGACAAGCAGGCGCATCTGGCCTGAGCGCGTTCGAGAGGACAGGAGAGCTTTTTCAGTATTTATCGACAGCGTAGACGTCGGACTCGACGTCTGCTTTCAGTCCAGTGCGCGCATACACCCACCCACCCACACCCGCGCGAATGTCGCGATGGCCATAGCAACTAAACATGTTTCAATAACAGGCGTGCTCACTTTTGGTGAAGGCAACTCCGTTTTTTTTCTTGCGGTAATGTAGGGGTGCGGTGCTACAGCACTTAGTCATCATGATAAACAATAGATACAAAGCTGCCCGCCACAGCGCGTTCACCAACGATACGTGAGAACGGCACAATCATCAGCAAAAGTCTACCAGCCTAATTGTAGGATTTTCATTTGATTCGATAGCTCTCCCTGGTCAGAGTGCGAATCGCCACTGAAGTGACCTGCAAACTTGTCAACTGCTACAGTTTGTTCCTTAAAATGGTCTGCAACTGGTACAGCACCTCCGCCGCCGTCGACGGTGCTCCGGATTCAACGCCACGCAAGAGTTCGCCAGCACCACCATCGAATCCAGCGCCCGAGGCGAAAACTCGACGCGGATCTTGCCCAGCGCCACCATCTGCAGGATGGCCGTGTCCGGCATCTTGCGCCCCGAGTCGCTGTTCTCCTTCGGGTGCGCGTACGGCAGCGCGTGCAGGTCCAGCTCGGACAGCACGATGCCGAACGAGAAGACGTCGGCCTTGTCGTCGTACCTCTCGCCCATCATAACCTCCGGCGCCATCCACAGCGACGTGCCCACCCCCGCCGTCATGGTCTTGTCGGCGTGTTCGCGAGAGATGCCGAAGTCCGTGAGCTGGCCTCCAGGTCGGACGTCAGCAGAATGTTCTTCGACTTGAGGTCGCGGTGCAGCACGGGCGGGTCCAGCGAGTGCAGGTACATGAGCGCGTGGGCCACATGCAGCGCGATGGTGACTTTGGTTCGGTCGAAGCCGAGCTCGCGGCCTTGCGCTTCGTACGACGCCAGCAGCGCGCACAGGTCACCGCCCTCCATGTACTCCAAGACAGCGCACAGGTCCGAGAGCGAGTCCCACGCGATGCCGACGAAGTGGACGATGCGCGGGTGGTCGAGCAGAGCCAGCAGTCTCACTTCGTCCAGAAAGTCGTTGACGTGCTTGATGCTCTTACGAAAGTCCGGGAGCAGCATCTTGAGGGCGACTTGCTGTCCGTTGTAGAGTCCGTAGTAGATTTCACCGTAAGCTCCGCGGTTGATCAGTTGCTGAGTCAGCACTTTTCTCGGGGATACGAGATGTAGCGATGACTTCGTCGTCCCAAAGGCTAGCAAGACTCTGCGGCCCCAGTCCAACCGAAGCAGCAAAGTCGGTGACGGTGGTGGCAGTGCTCTTCTTCGGCGAGGTCACGCTGGCATAGCCGTCTTGATGCTTGTCACTCTCTGGGTTATGATTGGGCTTGGATCTCCGTCGATACCATAGAAACCCGAGAGCGAAAAGCGCTAGAGCAATAACAGCAATGACGATGCCAGCGATGGCCCCAGTACTGATACCTGGGCTTCCTGAGGCGGCGGTGGAGGTGCTACCACTGCTGCTGCTGCTGCTGCTCGTGATCCGGAGGGTACTGTAGCTGGCGTCCGAGACGTTCGCACTGACGCCGCCTGAGGTACTTGAGCTGCCTTCCGATTCGCTGGTACTTGAAGATCCATCCTCATCAAGACTGTAGCTGGAGTAGAGCTTGTAGATTGAGTTGACGCAGACTGTTCCATCCCGAGTGGAGACGTTCTTGCCGCTTGCTGCAACGGTGCTGCTGAAGCTCTTCTCGGAGCAGGTATCTCCTTTGTAGTCCGTGATATTGACTGCCCCGGTGGTTTCGTTAAGGCTTACCGTGAACATGAAGCTACCCGTAATTCCACTCGTTACGCAGGACCCGGAGGCTGGGAACGCATCGGTCTCCAGAAGATCTTGGCAGCCAGTCGTCTTGTATTTCTCCTGCACTACGAACTGTGTCGAGCCATAGACCTCGGCCGCGTACGCGAAGGGGTCTTCCACACACTTGGAGGAAAAATGGTAAGTGTCTTCCTCCACGCACGTACCGTTGTGGTCCTCAGCATCGCAGTCTGAGTCCTCCCCCATGGTGATGGCATTGGGCGCCCCAACGCACGAGCTATCCAGGAAGGTTGACGAAGCGAACCAGGTCATGGCGGCGGAGTATTGTAGTGAGGGGAGACTGTCGCTTGTGAAGTGACCGGTTGGCGGTCGCGGTCTACGGTCCCTCGCCTCGCTCACCATCGTTACGGGGCCAACTGCACTCGGTGTTGTACTGTAGGTCAGACATAAGGCTCATGCAGACGGGCTGCGCTTTGAATTCGGCACCTCGGCCAAGGAAAGGGTCAGGTGGACAAAAGGCGATGAAATGCATGGCGTCCTACAGTATCCAAGAGGGATCAAGAGGGAACGACACATCACTGCAGCACGCAGGCAACCCGCAATGCAGTCGGTCGCACAAATGTCAGGGGAAGTATCCATGTATCAACTTGATCCAGGCCCCCTCGAATAATAATGTCTGTAGTTTTGGGCCGGTATTCCTCTCGTATCCCTAGAGCTCCTGCGATAGTATTGTATGCAGCCGATAGAGCGCTTCTGCTGCTGTCGGTCGCTCCGTCGGATCGAGCGACACACAGGCCATGCCCAAGTCCGCCATCGACTGCAAAGAACCAGTCGAGAACTCGATGCGCAGCTTGCCCAGTGCCACCATCTGCATAATGACCGCCTCGGAGACTTTGTGGTCCGAGTCGATGTCCCCGCAGTCCTTGGCGTGCGAGTACGGGAGCACATGCACGTCCAGTTCAGACAGCACCACGCCAAACGAGAACATGTCGGCCTTGTCGTCGTACTTGTGGCCGAGCATGACCTCGGGCGCTATCCACCGCGACGTGCCGACGCCCGCCGTCATGGTCTTGTCGCCTCGCTCTCGAGAGATGCCGAAGTCTGTGAGCTTGGCCTCTAGGCTGGAGGTGAGCAGGACGTTCTTGGACTTCAAGTCTCGATGCAGCACCGGAGTCTCGAGCGAGTGGAGGTACGTGAGCGCGTGGGCCACGTGCAGTGCGATCGTCACCTTGCTGCGGTCGAAGCCTGTGGCGTGTTGCTCCTGTTCGTACACACTCAGCAACGCGCGCAAGTCCCCACCCTCCATGAACTCCGACACGACGCACAAGTCCGTCAACGAGTCCCAGGCCACGCCCACGAACTCGACGATGCGCGCGTGCTCGAGCGTCGCCATGAGCTTCACTTCGGCCAGAAATGCGTTCACGTGCTTGACGCTCTTGCGCACTTCGGGCAGCAGCATCTTGACCGCAACGCGGCGCTGGTTGAACAGACCGAAGTACACCTCGCCGCCGCCTCCACGACTGATAATGTGCTGGACGATGACCTTCTCGCGAGGAACGCGAGCGGTGGCGATGACTTCGTCGTCCCACAGACCCACGAGCATGGCCGGCTTGGCCGACTGTCGGCCGCTACTGCCGTCATCTCCCAGCGAGTTCGTCGTCCCTGGAGCCGTCGACGAGCCTGGCTTCCGACTCCCTGAGGGCGACTGGAAGCTGCTGAAGTTGTCATTCTCCTCCCGTTCGGCTTCACGTTTCTTACGTAGCCGATAGACGACAACCACTGCGACGATGACAATGAGCACCAAAGCTGCAGCAGCGATGCCCACCACTGCCCCCGTGCTGATACCTGGGCCATTGCTGGCACTACTGGAGCCCGAGTCACTGTCCGCAGCTTGTGGGGCGGCAGTATCAAGGCTGCCGGAGCTCCCGCTACTGCTGCTAGTCGAACTTGACGCAGTGTCGCTGCTATAGAACCGGTAGAGTCCTTGCTGGCAGGAGCCCGTGGTTAGCGCGTCCTTGTCCAGCTCGAAGTAGAGCGACGGTTCTCCGCCGCACGCGTCGTTCGGGTAGAGCGCCACCACCGCGGACCCGTTCGAGTAGAGGCTCGTGATGACCGACTGGTCCCCAAGACCCGACGAGATCTCGCAGCTGCCCGACGCCAGGAACACGTCGGCCTCGCCGAAGGACACGCAGCTCTTGTTGTCGTACGTCTCCATCATCACGTACGTGAAGTCCCCGAGCACGGCCGCAGTGTGCGCGAAGCGGTCCGACACGTTGCACGTGCGGCTGATGTAGTACGTGTCGTTGCCGAACGCGATGTCGCTGCACGCGTCCTCCACGCAGCTCGCCGACAGGTTGTACATGGCCAGCACGTCGGGCGAGCCGGCGCAGTTGACGCCCGAGAAAACCTCCACTGCCTCCATCGTCACGGCGCGCGCGCGGGCCCCCCACAGCGCCGCCGCTAAAGCCAGCGAGGGCAAGCGCATTATTGTATTCCCGCCGGGAAACTGGAAAATGGACCGTACCACGCACACGCAGTGCTGCAAGTGTCTGGCCACGAGGGTCTTTGGCTACATTTATCGGGCAGCGCTTCTTTGAACGTGCGCCTCGCTCGGACACCGACCGCACTGTCCTTTCAGCTTGGAGCTCAGCTCATCGCGCTGCACGCAGTGGTGAACTGGAGCGCAGCCTTCCCCTGCTGCAGTGGAGTGGAAGGTCGTCCGTCACCTTTCGGTTCCCCGGTGATCAACTCTGACGTACATGTGCTCGCAACCGCGAAGCTGCTGAACTTCAGCCTGAAGAACGCATCGGCTTCTGTCTGTTGGTCTCCTTTGCAGATACAGTAGATGTAGCAAGGAGTGACCAGTTGATCCCGTTGAAAAGTGTCTGGGGTGATGAACGCTGTTGTGGGTGATGAACGCTGTTGCGGTGTCATAAGCATTGCTGCCGACTTACTTCGTGTGGGCTTCGCTGTAGAATTCCTCTATCCGCGAACCAAAACGTTCAAGACTCTTGATGCCCAACTTCAATCAAATCAATATCAATTGCGGCGGAGGAACGCGTGCGCGACATGGTATTCAGCTCGCTTGTCGTGGTCTGAGGCTTGCTATCATAGCAAAAGCAGCGTCGCGATGAACCGTGGGCCAAATGACAGCATGCTGATGTTGTACATGTACTAAATGTACATGAACTGACCTCCATCGTGAAGTTCACTTGGTCACCCCGCAGTACAGTACCCGGCGGTGGCAAGGAATGCAAGACAGAGCATACACCGCGTTAATTTAAACAGGACTTAGTGCGGTATTGGACGCCTACCAAAAATAGAGAAATCACCCAACATAGATGCAGCAGATATGACAGGACTTATCGCCAAGTATGTCAACATATCCTAAATTCTGTCCACCACAAATATATTAACGACGAATCTCTGGTTGATACAAACGGTCTCATATTAGAAAGATATCGCCTCATCTTGCACAACATAGGACATTTCGAACGGGACAGCAGTACAGCTGAATCTATCCAGTTCGGCTTGAAGTTTGACTTGAAGGTCGCCATTTCCCTTCGAGATACCTCCTAGGAGGCTCCTACGCAGGCGCGATCCCCCCTGCGAGTTTCCTGCGAGCGCGATGCTCGAGGAAGACGAAGGCATACTGCTGCACCTGTGCGAGGCCTTCAAGGCGCACAACGAGCGCGTGCGCGACGCTCACCGCGACGTCCACCAGCTGATGCTGGAGGAGAAATGGCGCATCGCCATGCGCACGCGTCATTACCTGACTTCACGGTGTCTCGATGCACCGTGTGAGTCCGCATGGATGACCCTCTACATGCACGGCTCTGATGTGAATTTTCTGAACGCAACGAGTTTAACCAGGTAAAGTGTAATTATCATTTTTGACGCGGTTTCCTGCGCTAACACTATAGCCTCCATGTCTGTAGAGGGGCTTTTCATCAGTTGCTGTCTAGGTTTGCTAGCTTCTACGACCTCCCTCCTCCGTCATCACGAGGCCGCCCCCCAAAGCTGCGCTACCTACACCAGGTGCTGGGGCTCGTACTGAGCTTCTACGTGGGCTCTATGGAACAGAGCTCGCTGTGCATCATGTTCGGGGTGCCGCCGAGCCCTCTATCACGAACGCTGCGCAGGGCAGAGGAAGCGCTGTCGCTAGCGCTGACTGGCTACGCACCTGCACGCATCTCCTGGCCCTCGCCCTTGCGTCAGGCGGAGCTGGCACGCATGGTCAACAAGCGCGAACCGCTGCTGACCCACACGTTTGGGTTCATCGACGGTAAAACTTACGTGTACGTGTACTGTATATGATATTGATATTAACGGCTTTTAGGATATCTCAACTAACTGAATTCGATCGTGATGTGAGTGGACAGGTCCAGCAGCCCTCTAACGCTGACCTACAAAATGCCATGTACAATGGCTGGCTACACTCGGTCTTCGTGACCGGCACGATTTGTTTTGCCGCTGACGGCTGCATCATTTGGTCGAAGCACAACTGTCCGGGGTCGTGGAACGACTCGGACACGTCCTTGGAGTTCCGCAACAAGCTCACGGATCCCCAGTTGTGCCCCGACGAACGCATGAGTGTAGTGTCGGACTCTGCATTTCCCTGCTCTACAGCCATGACAGGGAGGATCCTGACCCCCTTGATGAACGGGGACATCGAGCGCATTGAGCCTTGCCTCCGCAGCGCCGCACGCACACTGCACAATGCGATCACCTCCATTCAACAGGCTGCCGAATGGGGAATGGGCAGTGTCCAGAAAGCTTACAGTCGCCTCAATTTGCCGCTGCCCTACGACCCGGATCTACGAGGAATCCGACTCAACAACCTATTCAGGATGGCGAACTACAGAGTTCGCGCGGTCGGCATCTCCGAGATCAAGACCACGTTCGTGGGTGTCATGGAGATGCCAAACCAAGACATGTTCGAATCTCTATGATTGCTTTTGCGTAAAGCTGGTTCAATAGAAAGCTTCGTAGTTAATTTCATAGTTATCGTACTGCACAGCTATCGTTGAAGGCATCGGCGAGGCTGCTAACAAATACAGCACGAGATTCGAGCTCGTAAATGGACTGTGTTGCTTTGATCATCGCTACATAGGGCTGTATTGAGATGTTACGCTACTAAATGCACTTCCTCCCTCTTTAGATCATCCTTGCTGTTGCCTTCACCGCGCAAGGGCACTCACAGCTCATTCCTTCTTCGTTAGCGCACCCAGTACGAGCAACAGCTCTTGAGTGCGCGCACGAGCGTCCTCCTTGTCACGACGGGCGCGCTCCTCCGCCTCCTGCTTCTCCTGACGGCGACGCTCCACCACCTCCTGCTTCTCAAGACGGCTACGCCCTTCGGCCTCTGCTTTGTCAGCGAGGTAGCGTGCCTCGCGGGCCGCCTGCTCATCGCGACGGCGCTGCTCTTCGTCAGCACGGCGAAGTTCCGCCTTGCGCTCGTTTTCCTCACGCATCATGAGCAGCATCTCGAACATGGTGCCCCCCATGTTGCTGGAGCTGCTCTCCAGGTCGGACAAGCGCTTCTTCAGCTCTGTCGTCGCCCTCACAGCCTTCACGCGCTTTACTTTGGCGTAGCTAGCCTCAGCCAGCTCTTCGTCCTCATCCGCAGCACGTTTGGGTCCCACGGTATCGCGGAGCTCAGCCAAGTTGATACCACCAAGTCTGTTGGAGGAAGTCGCGTAGCGCTTCTGCATCAGTGGCTTCTTGCCTTGCGAACGTCCAGTGGTGGCTGGTAGAGAAGCGCTCGCCACATTATCACCGTCTGTGGTTGCTGTGGACGCGGCAGCGGCCGCCACCCCCATCGCGCTCGGGCCTCGACCCGTCTTCTTTGTTGTAGAAGATCGCAACTTTCTCTGCGTCGGCTGCGCAGCCGGCGGAGACGGCCGCGGCGTAGCAAAAGCCTCCAACCCCTCGCAAACACCGGTCGAGGGCAGCAACTCCGAGAAGTCGCCGCTGTTCATGTTGGTGTTGTCCCCGGCCGATGTCTGCGTCTCGCCCGAATGCATGGAGTCACTGGTGGAGGCTCTCTTGCTCGTGTCCGCGTCGTCGCTCGCGCGCGAGCTGTCATCGAGCCCCTCATCGCCGTCGAAGTCGAAGCACAAGTCGGCTTCATCCTCCTCCTCCTCTTCATTCTCGCCCTCTTCCTCAACTTCATTGTCGACATCAGCGCCATCGTCCATGTCGACCACGCTGGCCTTGGCGTCGATGGCCTGTTTAAGCAGCTTCGCCTGCTTCACGTGCGGCGGCATGTCAGCTACACCGGTAGGCTTCCGTGCTCCGTAGAGCACCTTGAACTTACGGCGCAGACTTTCATAGTCGCGCTCAGCGACACCACGCCCTCGGTTGGAGTTGTAAGCAACGGCAAGTCGCTCCCACTTGTCCTTGCCTAGCGGCAGGTAGTGCTCGACGAGCGCCAGGAGCCGACGCACTGCAGAGAGCTTGTAGTTAGTGCTTCCGGTCTGCTTCGGCATCTATACAGAAAACACGAACACGTAAGTTACAGTACGCAGAGAATATGGTATTCAAAGGCGTGTAGCGTACCAGGAATGATGTCGGACGGGATCTCGAAGGTGCGGAGGAGGTGACTTGCTGCAGGCTTGGTAAAACCAGGAATGAAAGCCACCTTACCTTGGTCTCCGCTCTGGCGGGTGAGGCTCAAACGAGGCCAGCCCATCTCGCCTCGAACCGGATGGTCGTGAGGACTAACCTGCAGGGTGAATTCGCGCGCAAGCTGAGCGCGCTTGCAGTTGGTAGAGCGCGTTCATTTTGGCGCCAAGGTCTCTCCGCTGACACGTCAACAGCGGTATCAAAGCACACTAGCCCCCAAGGTAGCTTCAACGCCGTCAGCTTCAACGACAGGATCAGATTAACTTGAATACAGCATACAAACACCAGGCTTACCAATGATGCAAAGCTCCCACTATCTTCCTCACGTCTGTAGACTGCCCTCGAGACGCGCGTCACGCCTACGGGTCCTGTTCATCTTGGATGTCGCGATGGCGGCAATTGGGGTGGCCACAGCGACATACGAACCACAGGTCGGGCCCGTAGTCGACGGTGATCTCGTCGCCCTCGTGCACGGCGTGCGTCGTGGCAATCACGACCGTCGTCCTACGTCCATTCGCCACTTCCAGGAACTGAGCCACCGGCGCGCACGAGTGGTTGACGAAGCGCATCAAGCCACCCATGTGCCGAGCGTGGATGGCGACACGGACTGGGTGGCTCGGCCTCTCGGGCCGTTGCGTCATGATCAGGCGGTAGCCCTCGTTGCGCGGTCGAGCCGCGTGCGAGATGCTCACGTGCTCGAGCTCGCCCAGATACTCACCCAGTACCTCGCCCGCATCAATGAACTCTTGCGCCACCACGGCCAATTCGCGGGTCGCCGCGTTCCTCACCAACGCGACCTTCGTCGACTCGACCAGGCTGTAACGGGCTAACTGCAGCCCGTTACGTGCTTACACAAGCAGAGGAAGTAGTAGGCAAATTGAACTCTGGTATTAAGTGCCGAGACGGTCTCGGCACTCGAGACCGTCCCAGCCATTAAACCTATAGTGGGCTCTGATTGGCCACCGCGCACACGCGGTGGCGCCTGTGTGACAGTGGCCTGTCACACCACCCCCTACTCAAGATTGGAACATACACATATCTAAACTCTAGAAAGGAACTGCAGAGCTTTGCGAGGCGGACGTGACGCTACTTGGCAGGCGCGGGCCGACAGCGCGCGCGAAGTGAGTGAAGCAGCGCAGCAGTGTCTCGGACGTCATCAAGGGCCGGCTGCTGCGCGACCGCAGCTGCAGCGTGGGCTTCAACGGAGCGATCTTAGTGCAGCTGGTCCGGCGCTGGCGTGGCATGAAGCGAGTTCGTCGCGGTGGTACGCACCGTGACTCCACCGTGGGTCAGGTCGCCGCGAATCCTGGAACACCGAAGGTCGTCCGTCGTCTGAAGTCGAGCATCGCCGCTGGGCTGTCCGCTCTTGCGAGGCACTCGTTGAGTTAGGCACGGCTCGCCGCCGCGCCCTCTGCAAGCGACGTCTCGTACGCCGCCACGCAGTCGGGGACATCTGCGAGTAGGACCTCGCGTGGCTCCCAGCTGTCGTCCATAGAGCCAAGCCATCGAACCAGATACCGGCGGTGCGAAGGTATCTCTCCATCGCGGCGACGAGTGCCGCGATCCGTGCGTGCGCGCTGCGGTGCATCTCGGTGGTCGTCGTGGTTGAGAATGGCTTCGACAATGTGACGCTGGTTCCCAGCAGCGTCCACTAGGGGAGCAGGACCGTCGCGCTGGAATGCAGATGCGCGAACCTATCGCAACCGCCTTCGGGCAGTCTGCCTGGAGCTGCTCAACGGACTCCCACGAGTTATCCGACTCAGGGTAACCCCTCCACTTCACGAGCAGCTGGCGCTTGCCATGGGGCCGCCGCTCCCGGACGACTCGTTCCACGTGGTAGTGGATCTGCCCATTACGATCAAGGAGGGCCGGCGGTGGCCTCGCACGGCCATGGCTACGAGCCTGAGGCGACGCAGCCGTATGCTGGGGCCCCGAGTCAGGTGGTGGCCCTGAAGCAAGAGGAGATTCGTCTTCTCCGGGACCGTGTGTACGTCCTCGAGGTCGCGCTTGGCGTCGGTCTTGGTGGTGAGACTGCCGCTCGTGCTGGTCAGCCTGGTGCCGTGGAGCGGCTCCGTGAGGATGTTGCCTCGCTCTATCAAGAGACTCGCAGTCTTCATGGCCGTGTGGATCGTCGAGCCGACCTGTCGTCTTACGACTCGCTGCGAAACCAGCTCGCTGGCCTTCGGGCCGAGCTTCATGGCCACGCGCCGTATCCGGAGCAGCAGCAGCCCCACTCGTATCAGGCTCAGTTTGGCCAGGGCTCGTACGGGGCCCCTGCGTATGCTGCTCCGATGTACGCCGCGCCGTCTTACGACCAGCGCGCGTATCAGGCGCCTTACCGCGACCCGACGCTGCGCTTCGAGGAGCTGCGCTCTTCTCCACCGGGCCACCCATCGCTTCCTGCGGGGCAGCTAGAGCCAGAGGGTCATGGTACCTCTTAAGACGGCCCACGTAAAACGTCGGGTGAGTCGTCATCGACTTGGGCACGTCTATGGTGTACGCCGCGCCATGCCGGCTGAGGACCGTGAAGGGTCCAATGAAGCGGTGCTTCAGCTTGTTGCTCTCGACCGAGCTAACAGTGTTTAGCGGTAGGTTTCTAGTATCTAGGAGAACTAAATCCCCAACCTTAAACACGTTCATGTTTCCTCTTCCATTTCGGTCAGAGTACTCCTTCTATTTATCTTGGGCTT